ATACGAAACTTGGACCTTTGATCAGCAGTCGAACATAACAAGGCGGTTAATTATTTAAGCTGCAGTTTAACTGCCTAACGGTCTAATTGTTGGTCTAATTTTAGCAATTTTATGGCTAATATCCAAAGGGCCGTGGATTCGGTCCCACCGGGTCCAAGATGGTTCTAATTTTTCAATTTATCTTTTTTGAGACATGTTGGAGTCTGAAATTAGGCTATCAAATAGGTGGTAAGAATATAGAAATCCATCAGGGTCACGAACACCGTGCACAGATGAAAAAGCCGTAATCGCGTTTCGGTTTCAGTCTGTGGATTTCAGAATATCAAATGCCGAATAGCCAAAATGGGCCGACAGCGCATCTTGCTTAAATGTTATACTGCTTTGTTATTTCACCTCCTGTCAAGTGGACCCCATACTTTTCTGTCCTCTTCTATGTTAAAAAAAAATTAACAAAACTTCTTTAAGCCAGTAAAATACAAAGAATAAGAAAATGCCACAGCTTCTTATAGCTACGAAAAGTTAACAACACATTCAGTGAACTATTTATAACGCGATGAGGCAGCGAATCCTTTATTCTGTTTCGATTGTAAGAACTATGCAAGAGTACAATATAGATGTTCCACTGCATTTGTTGTCGACTAAAGAATAAACTTGGCCATTATTTATGAGGTTATATTTCGCCTTTACTGCAGCTTGTTCATAGAAATTGTGAGGATAAACTTTAAATAGGACTGCTTAGAGATCATACTTTTTGTTTGAAATTGATATTTTATTGCCTCTTATACTTTACAAATGCTTATGTCTTTCTATTTATAGTTATACTAGTTATGACAACGACTTCGTTCGCATTATTAGGGCGTCAAAATTGGTATTCGCAAACCTCCTTTTCATCTTTATAAGTTACCGCGACTTCTTTAATGCAAAACCAGAGATGATCCTGATATTAGCGCGTTTAAACTAAGAAAATCTTATATACTGATATAGATTTGCTGGTAGATATAACTTAAAAATTTTGTTGGAAGAATAAAAAATATGAGAAATGTTAGACATAAATGGCCACTAACCATGTTGTTTTTTCCTATTATTACAGGGTCACGTGTCAGTGGTCACGTTGGAAGCCCTTACCACATCTTCAATTTTAAATCTATATAAGCTTTTGTGTGCAATTTACAAAATAGTATTGATTAAAGCACAATCCTTTTCTGTTTATTATTTGGTACCGTTTTCATATGCCATTAATATTATATGTAGCTCAAAAGTGTACATATATACAAATTAAAATATATATCGAGTTTTAAGCGGTTTTTAATAACAATCAATATTCCATTAAATTGCTTATAAACAAAACAAGCGATGGCAAACTGAAATAGATACACGCTATCAATCAGTATTCAGCAATGCTAAATTTAACATCGTCTAGAAGATTTATACGTCAAACGATGGCTTGGTGTCGCTGTAGATACTGTAGTTAAAATGTCGACGAACTCTGAAACAACTGAAGCGAACTAAAAAGTTTTTCAATAGCAATGTTTGTCAGACTTTATGCTGCTGTAAAGTACAGGCGCAGCGTTATTTGTACCAAAATATAGTGATACAAATGTTACTCAGTTACAATAAGGTGCTGAACATAATAGAATAGTCCTACTTTTCAAACTGTTTAATTAAAGAACAAAGACATTTCGTTTATTTAGATTGGAAAAAAAAACCGGGTTCCACAGAGTCCCGAGCTGCTGCTATAACTGAGCTACCGTTGTCAAAACGTGGTTGGAGAGGCACAGAACGCTGTGGATGTCGGTTTAAGTACCGGCCTTATTGTAAACTTGTTTCAATCTAAATGGATTTTAATGTTCATAATGCCATCATGTGCAATAAAAAAACATGTGAAGTAACATTTTTGAATTTTTTGTAACTTTTTGTAAATGTATACAAATCTTCGTTTGAAGCTGGAAGCTACAGATGAAATGAAAACTTACGACAAAATCATGTAATAATTTACTATGTCCTTAACGTTAGATAAATATAATGAGGCCCCCACATTGAAACCATGGAATATACGAAATTTTACGCTTTAAAAACTGTAATTAGACCAAACTATTCAAAGACTTGGGTTCTTACTTCAGGACGAATGGAAACAATTTTAAAAGCTCATACACCGTCTCTGTGTCTTTTAGCAACCAATTTTCTCTGATTAGTATTTTAAATCTTGCTCAATATGACCGCGAAAATTCCTCTTTATTTTGACATTTTATTTTATACACAATTTATTTTATGACTCGTAAACCGCGACTTTCAAGACAGAGTTTGTTCTTTTACTTATATAATAAAAAGAAGAAATATTAAAAAAGTCACCATGCAACCATCCTTTTTCTATATTATTTAATATGTCAGCTTCGCAGCTTTGTTAAACGTAATTTTTCAAAGTCATGAGTACAAATCTTTTGTTTGTTTTTTAGTTTTAAATTAAATAATATAAAATCGGATTTAATCCGTCAACCAATATGACAACATTATCATGTATGAACCATAAATAAATATTTTATATGTTATTTATTTTCCTCCCACTAAATTGTACTCATTATGTCATTATTCTGATAAAATACAGTATCCAACTTCGGTACAGGAAACTATTTGTACGTTATCCACTCAGATATTCAGGACACAGCTTGGCGGCGAGTCCAAATGTATCTATGCTATTAAATCCATCGTTCCTTTCAATAATGCTGAAGATGGCAAATGAATGGGATACTAAATCTGTTCTGTACAGACACACGTAACCAATAAACATTATTTTAATTGGACGTCTAGATATCGGCTGAGAATTACGGTAAACGCCGTTTAACAATCTGTCAAGACATTTTCTTAATGTGTAGTGGTGTGCCGAATATGCTTGATCCGAAACCGAATTAAATATGTACTTGGTAAAGAGAAAAAATATATTAAAATAAAACACTTTTAACGGGTTTAAAGCGAAATGTATTAGTTAGAACTTATATACAAATTATTTTACCTGCGTTGTCACGGAGAGACAGGACTAGGTCTAAAAATAGTACTACTCGCGTTAGCTACAGACGGTACTGAAAAAGAAACTTGTAGAAGGGGCAATACTTACCAGAATAATTGTACAGAAATGAAAACAAAAACTTATTCGAAATTCTGAATGATACAAAACAGATTATTAAAAGCCTATTGACATTTCTAGAACAGTATATCGTAGGTATACGAAGTTCGAATACCTAAACGAGATTGCTTCGAATAGTCAATTCGGTTTAATCCAATTTTAGTACATCCCTAATATCGTGCATTTTGCATGCAATGTTTATTTCAATACGGTGATTAATTGGCCATTGCGTAAATATTATTTGGGTTAGAAAATAAATGTAAGTATAAATGCGATTTATAAGTAGGTTGAGACTTGAGACATGAAAAGGTCAAACGTTTAAAATTGAAGGTCTCACAGACCAACTTCGCTAATGAACCTGAGGGCACTTAGTAGGTCCTTAATTTATTATAACTAGTTCTCGTTTTTAGGATACCGTACTCAAAGAGCGAAAGTTTGTAAGACTTAGCCGTTCGTCCGTCACCGATTTTGTTGATCAGACTCGCACTTAACCGTGATCTTGCTTGTTACCTAGTAAAAATACTTAAGGAGGTTGTAAAAAGGAGGAATTTTAAAAACGTGTAAATATTCCACGGCTGTTTGACAATGAACAAAATGCGCCGGCGGTAAAACTCAAAAGTAACATACCAACACGCAGTTTATCTCAATGTTTAATGCTATCATTAAGTGAATTTCGCTCTTAACGGCTACTTAATTCCCCTTAACGATGATGTATTGACGCCTCACGTACACACAAATGCCAAGTGATTAAAACAACATTAATTTAAGTGAAATATTTTTAAAGATGCGGTCCGCCATAAATCATAAGGGCAAGTACAACTAGCGAGTAATTTCAACGTATAATTTATTTACTAAGCGACGACGAAAAGAAATGGTGATGATTTTTGTTTTTTTTAATGTACATAATTATGTAAATTAATTAATAATATTATGTATGTTCCACCATAGAGCTTAAAATACACAGACGATATTAATGAATGAGCTGTCAAACGTGTAGAAAATGGCGCGCGTGGCATAGACTATATTTACAATTTTACTATCCTAAAAATTTAGGATACCTTCCATCCCGTGATTTATAAAAAATTATAGGTTAAATGTCTATTTTATTAATTAAATGCTATAGTGTAACAATGTATTCCGATTGTCCAAAATGTAAATTGTGTAAGTTTTTCACCTTCTATCAAGGGAACACCATACTAATTTTTCCTCTACCATAAATAATTATTATTTTTATATTATAAATGCATTTCGTATCGGTCAGGCATTACGGTATTACGTTATGTTGGGTATTCTAAGCATCACTACTTGTTAAATTTCTACGTCACTGATTGTCCACTTAACCTTCATGAAGGTTTAATTCATCGTCCAAAGATATTTGACGTTAAGGGTCGATGTGTCTACTTAAAGTAAATAACTTGAAAGTTACGAGTCTCTTTAAAGTTTCGGGCAGCTGTCTTTAGAGTTGTAACGATGCGCTAACAGTTACTCGCAGCTTCTTGAAAATAATGGTAGTAAACCTTTCTCGTATCTTCTTTGTCACTATATAATATTTTATTGAAGATATTTTAATGATATTAAATAGTTACTGACTAATAAAACTGTGTTTTATGATTTAATATAGTATTTTCGAAACCTTGAGACATTTTTTTGTTTTATTTAGTTTTGGCCTGATAATAATTCAAAAGAGTCGAGTTATGCTGTACTCTAGTAATTTCGTCTTTATCCAAACTTCCATTTGCAAGATTGGGGGTTTAATATCCCGGTCGTGCGACAAAACCTATAAATATTTGTCATTTGCCCAAATAAATTTGGCAAATTTCTCTAAGGATCCAAGAACTAAGGGCTGTTGATGCGTGAAAATAATTGTAATTCTAAATTTCAGGATGTCTGGGGGCGATGTCAGCGAGTATTGCGTTGGCTCTGTCGCCTGTGACAGTTGCTCTGTGCGTGCGCAAGTCGACACGGGTAACAGCTGTCGTTGGCGGCTTGGTGGCTGCTCTGGGTTGCCTGTTCACATCCTTCGCAACGCAATTCCATCAACTGTTCTTCAGCTATGGTAAGAAATTTTACGAACAAACTTAATGTGTTACACTTTTGTGCACATTTTATTTAATAGTAACCGAATCACGAGAAAATTGGCTAGCCCTGAAAAATACGCTCTCTTAAGTATACAAATAGTTATTCATTTCGAAAGGGGTTCTCCTCGGTTCGGATCAAACCACAATTTAAAAATAAACATAAAAAAACTTGCTATATTTTTGATGATTTAAAAAGACTTTTATTACAGGAGGTAAAAAATATCTTAAGAAATTGCTTGCATTGTGGATTTACTAAGTATTACAAACTTAATAAAAATAAATAGATTCTTTGTTGAAAAGGTATTTGCTATTTTTACATTTTAATTTATTGTGCGATAGAACCGAAATGAAAAAACATATTTTTAAAAGTAAATAAGTGAAAAAATTATAGTGATACGACACGTCCGGTACGATAAAGCATTTATATTAAAAGGATATATTTGACACCAATACAAGTTCCAAGGAAAACAAACCGCTGCTTTACTATCACTTTTGTCAATACTACAGATTTAAAGTGCATTCGAGAAAGCGGAGATGTATTTGGCGATGTTCCATACACCTGTAGAATTGTACACGTTGGATCGCAAGTAGAATGGCTTAGCCTTTAGCTTGTTTCTTGTTGTTGTGATACTCGCCGCATGTGACATCGCGCATGTATTGTATATAAAAAAAAAAAAAAAAAAAAAAAAAAAAAACAAGGGGCCCCCGAAAAAAAAAAAAAAAAACCCCCCCCCCAAAAAAAAAAAAGAAAAAAAAAAAAAAAAATTCCCCCTCCGGGGGCCCCCTCGGGCTGGGGCCCGGGTTTGCCACTTCCACCCTAAGTGCACGGTAACAAGCTAAATGTTAAGAAATAGTTTAGTATTATATTCTTACTGGGGCGGTAGTCCAGTAATATTAAAACAAAAACCTACATAACGAGACACGACATTGAATTCGCAAATACATATATAAATTATCACATTTTAATTTTTATCAAACAACAAATATTTATAACTTACGATATACTTTTAATAATGTTTTGATTCAGCAATGAAAGGCGATATATTTGTATAAAACCACTCAACAAAATTAAATCATCAACACATTTACATCAAAAGAATTGTCGTTACAAATGATACGATAGTCGTCGACAACGTGATTCATACGATAATTGAAATCGTGAAGTGAAATATAATGCGGGGTTTGCATTAACATAAAATTGTCGCAAAATAAACAATCGCTGAGTAAATTCACTTAAAATCGCATTGGCCCGACAGCTCAATTTATTTCATTGCGATCATATCCGCGCATCGTTTTAACGAATACATCAAAGGAATTCGTTAATTGGCGCTCAAAGTAAATAAGCGGATATTCGATAGCTCGTACCGTTGAGACGAGCACGTGAAACTGCTACGATGATTTTATCGACTGTACTGAGAATTAAGAGCAAGGCAGGTGAAGTCGTGAAACTTTTAGTGTAGAACTAACATTAGGTAAGGTCGTGATAACAAGGTAACCAAATTATTTTAAAGTTATACAACACTGTCCGGAAATTTACAACACGATTTTTAAATTCAAATTTAGAACATATAGACGAGTACGGTAAAAGTGACAAATATGACGTCGAGATTTCATTTGTTTGTTTTAGATTATGTACAATTTTTTAGTTTATATAAAAAAAATATTTTATGTGGGATAGATACAAATACTTTGAGCTCATCTTTACATGCAAAACACACAGAAGAACGGAATTTCCTAAAACTGCCAAAGTAAAGTTCGGATTCGAATTTCGAATAGTAATCGTACCACTGGCTGCATCCATTGAATGATAATATCGAGTGCTGGGAACCTTTGTATTCGTTACTGCATTTGCCTCTAAAGATTGCACCGTTACACTAAAAGGAACGCTTTCGGTACTTTTATTTATGTTTTAATAAAACATTTTCAACATTAATTTCTTATACTATTTTCTTACAAAAGAAATGTGTTAAACTGCTTCCAACTACAATAATTGTCCACGTCAAGAATAGTAACGGATAACGAAAAATTTAAAAAACAGTAAAAATATGAGCCGGGTACTTTTACACCTCTAGTAATATCTAGTCTTATGCACTTTGCGCAAGCCATCTTAGCGAATCGTTTGTAACCGATAGAACGTATAATACCATTTAAATTGTCAACACTCTAAACTTAAGTAGTTGGTTGACCAACGCTTTTATTATCATCCTACATATAATTTAACGCCTCCATGGCCAATGGTATAAGTACGTTGCCTAGCATTGCGTTGATCATTCTGGTCCGCAAGGAATAACAATATCTATTTTAGACTTTTGTGCATCCTGGTAATGATATTGGTCACTGAAACACTAAAATTACTCAGTGTTTTCCATGGGGTATCAAGGATTTTAGTACTATCATATCTATATCACCGATTAAATACATATAAACTTCGTTACCGTTTGTCTTTTTTTCGTTTTCATAGATAAAAAAATAAGCCTTTTTTACTACTTCACACATAGATTTGTATGTAATTATATATTTGTAATATGTTTCCATAGATCCGTTCACTTCAATATCGCAAATTAACAAGACGAGCAAACCCAAATTTCATTATCTTAAATTCAACTGCGGTTGTAAAAGATGCGTAATCGTAAAATTTGAGTTCCCATTGTAAATTTTGACCTAATTTTAGATTGTAGACGAAATAAGACTCTCAAGAAGTTTCAGCAGGAACGTGGTTTACGATTTAAAGTCGATTTTATATTTTAGAACTTTTAATATATACCCAAAGAATTAAAAATATATTCGCTTTAAGCGATTCTATAAGATATTATATTTTGTTTCCTTATATCTATAGGATTTTATATATTGAAAATAGCTTCACCTCCATTCCACTCTATTGCAGTTAGTATGACATCATTTTATTACTTTTCATATACCATCGTGAATTCTATGAATAAATCTTTCGTATTTACGATTCAAGACCGCGAAGGAAATTGTTTGCATTTCATACTAAAATCTTTTATTAGACAAATCCACTGGTGGTCATATTTATTTACTAGTTCTTATTGTTAACAAGGTGTTAGAAGAGCCAAGAAAAATAAATAAACCTGCCCTTCTTTATTTGCACCTATAAGTCGTTACCTATCTTAAGTATTGTGTATAGAATACGCTATTACTATACACGAAACATAACGTTTTAAAACCCGAATTATAGTTAATTTAGGTTTTTTTTTATTCTTGCCCGAACATAAGGAAAAAGTAGCATATTCACCTCTGTCTTATTAACTGTATGGATAGCTTCGAAGAACATTCTCGTGATCTAGATTAATCCAAGTTTAAAAATTTATAATGTTGCACGTAGAAATAAATATCGATTTAGGTTATATAAGAGAAGTATATATGTATATACGTGAGCGCAGTAATTTTGGGAGAATAACTATTCATTACTGCTATAAGCCATGTTGGTGCGGTTATACTGCCCACCAGCTGTTATCGGAAGTAGGGTTGGCACTTAATTATTTTCTATAGATATTTTCTTTCGCAAACCTTCGGAAAACACGAGATGCTGTCGGTTCCAGTTATCATTATTAATTTTTTAGCTATAGTCTTTTTTATGATAAAATAATACAAGCCTACGGTTCACTTGGTGGAAGGTGATATATCACATCTCAACTATCGACCTATTTTAGGCTAAATATTCGTTAACACCTACCAATCCGCACTGGAGCATTGTGGCTTTAAACTCTTTCTCCTGTAAGCGGGGCCACCTGAGCCCACATGTGGGACATTGTTGAAAAGAAATAAATACTTACAAATGTAATTAAATACAGCTATTTTTTGAGCTAACTTTTTGTAATATTTACCCTTTTTTTTAAAAAACATATGAAAAGAGCTGATATAGATCAAACTCCAACATTTTAATGATCGAATAGCGTAGAAAACATGGCTCAAAAGATTACTACGTTATTTTCCACGATCGCAGTGAGTGTGGTATTTTGACAACCCTAACAGCATCTATATTGAGAAAATGGAGGGAAATATCGGTTCATTATGCACCGCGAATGTTTACCGACATACGTGTAATGTGATAAAGTAAATTGGCTCGATACGCGAGTCTTATTAATTATATTGAAACAATGTGTTTTCCTATATTTATTTGGTACATACAATATTTCGTCGCCTACGCGTTTAATAAGTCATATTAATTGTGCCGAATCAGTTACACTTTTCAAAACACCTGTAGTGATAAATAGGTGACATACAAGAAATTTGCCCAACAACACTTATTCTTTTGAGCACAAGCGCAAAAGGAGTCTTAGAAGACATCTTACTACTTATATAATATGTATCACTCATAGTTATATATTTTTATGTGTATGTTTTTTTCTAGCGCCGCGTCAAATACATTTATATTAATATTTGACGCGGCGCCAGCCAATATGAATTTAGTCCTAACAAAAAATAGACAATATTTTCATGTTTGGTATCAAATAACATATGTAAATTACGTTTGCAGTGCGTCTGCGCATTCCACGTTGTTACGTATTGTATTCAGAGGGATATTGAGAACGTTAAGGTTAAAATTACATTGCACGAAAAGAAATGGGTTGAAAAAATTCAACGATGACGTGCAGGACACCGCTAGCTCAAGTAGTTAAAGCAACAGCACGGAACGGAACAGAAGCAATCTAAAATAAATCTTAATTTATCGGGGGCATATTCGAATTCCAGGAACCGTAGTCGGTGTGGGAGTGGGTTTGACCCGGGATTGTTCCACATTGATGGTCGCGCAGTACTTCAAACGACGTCGGGAGCTCGTAGAAATATTTATAGTAAGTGGCAGCGGGTTAGGCATCGCTGTCATGTCCACTTTCATCAGAGGTGCAATCAGGTATTTAATTATTATCATCATCATAAATAAATAAAATACGCAGAGACATTTGTAAGTGTTCCTTCCTACATTTAAAATCTCCTGCATACAAACAGAATTGTAGTTAATACTATATCTATTTTAATATAATAATTGAATTGACACTATTTTTAATAGCTGGCACAAAGCTAGCAAAGCCAAATTGCATTTTTTTGCAACAATCCTATTTAATCATTAACTACTAAAATATTACTAGCATGTGTAAAATTCGTGTGGGAATTCAAAAAAAATACTTTTCCTTTCTTATATTTCAAAAAAAATTATATATTTTCCAGAGCCATAGGTTGGAGACTAGGGCTGCAAGCAGTAACAGGAGTAGTTTTCGTTACGTTCATACTGGGGACCTTTTATCGCTCGGCGTCACTATATCACCCGCAGCGACGAGCGATTTTACACCTTAAGAACCAAAACAAGATTAAGAGAAAAATGAAAGATCGAAATAAGTCTGATGATAGACAGCCCTTTTTCGATTTTTCTACGCTAAGGTCGAAAACGGTGCGGATACTTTTAATGTCCACTGGGATATCTGCGTTTGGGATCAACACACCTATATTTTATCTTGCGTATCACGCTGAAGAGGAAGGTTTGTTACATAATGCATATATTCAATTTTAAAACAAAAAAGCTAAACACTACTAAAAAGGGAGGATCTGGAATTAATCACAGTCAGATTTTTCTGTTAATGTATAGAGGTATGTCAAATAGATTATATCGAAAAGATATGAGAATCAAATTTGTAAAAACTTTGGTCTTTATAGTTCTTTTTAATCGCTAAAAAATATTAAATAAAAAGTATTTCATTTCCATCACGCTTCTCTATCAAAAAAATAATCCTCGAAATAAGTTACGTCTATATATAAATGAAGTATAATTATATAAAGTACTAGATACTCCTGTCATGTTTAAAAACTCTCCTAAGGTAGAAACATAAAAGAGACATTATATTTAGGTCTATGCTCGTTAAAAATCCCTACCCACTAACGATGATCCAGTTAGAAATGAAAGGGACAAATCGTGAGAATAATAAATCAAATTTACAATAGCTGACAGCATTCCTGGCCACATAATAGACCTAAGAACCCTTTGAGTGAGAGAGAATCACAATGGGCTTCAGAATATTCAAACGTAATGTATTTTTCCTCTAAGGTTTAGGTGACACGGCGGAATTGCTCCAGGCGTATCTCGGGTTAGCCTGGGCCGTAGGATGTGCTGCCTTCGGTCTGCTGGTGCGGCAGAACTCCTCAGAATGCCGCATCGCGAGACAGTACCTCACTCAAGCGGCAGTTTTTGTCTGTGGCTTGGCTACAATGGCGTTGACAGCCGTTGAAGGATCTCACAGTGGCTACGTTATGTTCGCTTGGATTTACGGTAATTATCTCCTCACTCCTTCACATTTCATCAAAATTGGTCAAGCCGCGAGGCCAGCAGATGTGAAAAAGTATCAACACTAATATCGACAAAACTTCTGGAAGTTGAATCCTATATGATTAATATTTCACTATAAAATTTGAGTTATATTAATTTCCTTTCCTTTTATTATGTATTTTTTTTTATGTTTGGCGGTCTGTGTCAGACCTATTCAGACTAAACTTCTTAGATGTCGTGTTAGCTTAGTACTGATAAGAATGTTATAACTGATTGGTTGTAGGGATTTAAATAATTTTCTGTATAAAGTACATATTTTTATTTGATTTGTTCTATTGTCTCTTTAGGCATATTCTGTGGCGGCTACCACTACTCGCTGAAGATGTACACATACGAGCGAGTGCGTTCACGAAATTTTGCCCGTACTTGGGGCTTCGTGCAGTGTTCCCAAGCCGTCCCTATAGCTATCGGAGTGCCGCTGTCAGGTATCAAATCTACTATTACTACTACTTGTTACAGGCTTCTATTGTGCTTACAAGAATAACTCTTTAATGAAATTGCTACCATGACACCAACGTGTCTCACCATTGGCGTCTCGATTGCCCTTCTAAAATAACAACCTTCGTACCCCTCAATATATTTCGCGTTTTAAACCGTTTAAGTGTTGTAGTTAAATGTGTACTGCTCGCGTAAACTACAGGCAGTATTTAATTAACCCCTGATCGTTTGTTAAATGGTTTAATAATATTTTGCAGGATATATAAATGTCGGATGCGGAGGCAAGGCGGGCTACTACTTCAGTTCCACCTGCTCCCTCATAGGATCTCTTTCCCTTTTCTGCATCGATCTACACCGGCGTAGCGTAGCGCATAAAAATACCAAGTACCATATCTTTTATTATTATTAAACTTTAAGAGATCAGTGGAAAAAGGGAGACAAGAACAATCACTTTAAAACAAAGACAACAGTGCCGGATTGGCGCGTAGACGGTAGATGGAATGGGCTATAATATGTAAAAAGGCTTAGGGCGGCTGTTTCTTGGGGGCAAATTTGAGCACCAACATTTTTATCCACATCACATAAAACAAAGAACTTTCTTAGTATGAGTGAAAAGAGCAAGGTCGAAGGTTGTACCCCACTAACGACCTGTATATCAAATGTTTCTTTACATGCACTGTTGTCTATGCTAGTTGATCGTTGTCTGTTTCTATGCTGAACTTTTAATGACTTTTTCAGAGAGAACGGTGGTACTGTGTCTTGCGAGGCGGGTCATGGTCCAGCTAGCCGAAGTCGTAGCCGAGAAAGGGAACCACGTGCGGCTACTGGTGCTGCCACCGCTTTAGGTATAATATATCTTTTTCTATTTTCCTTACCCAATAAGAACAACACTGCAGGGTTTAGTTCAGAGATAGTTTTGCGTACGTTTTACTGATTGATTGCAAATACATAAATGCAAGCAAATACAGAGCCGATTTTTGCTGTATCCAACCGCAAGACTTTTGCCGAGGAGGCAGTAATTGACAGTTGATTTTTTGTTAATAAAAAACGTCTTTAACCCAGTTTTTATTTTATTGTTATACGACCACTCTTACTCTTTAGTCGTTGTTACAATTCCAAATCTATAAGTGTTCAATCCAGTTCAAATTAGATGCTTCTTATTTTTTTATGATAAGGGAGGACAAGGAGACAAGCAGACAAGGGATATTACCTTCCATCAAGTGAAGTCCATGTTCACTTGATGGAAGGTAAAGTACCACAGCTGTATAAAATCTAAACTAGATGCACTGGCTTTGGATATTCGAATTATATTAAAGTTCAATATGCTAGTAGTACATTATTATTATTATAAATAACATATCACAGTTCTAGGAGCAGAATTAGTAGCCCCGGGTCGCACTAGCCGTGATCTGCTGGACAGCATCGGCCCAGGTAGCCTCGGCTCCCCACCGCCGAATATCCCGCCAGAACTCACCTGCATCAGCGAGGAAGGTGGCCTGGATCTAGACCTGGATTTGGACATCCCTGAGCATTTATTAGAGGATCTAGATTGTGGGGGTGATTGTATTACTAGCTGCAATAAGGTAAACAAAGAGGCTTACAACAGCCATGTTTCTTGTGATATTAGATTATCAAACAATATTTTTAATAATAAAACTCCTTTATATTTATGAGATGCATAAGGATGGTGAGTTGATAATTTTGTTAAGGAAATTATAGAGAGTCAGTCTTTTGTCAACTCCCGACAACAAATTAGCTAAAATATTTTCCCAGGAATAGAGCGACAAGCAAAAAAGGACAACCAAACCCTTAAAGATAATATTAAATGTTAGTCTGATTTTTAGTAAATCGTTACACGCATCAGATTAAAAAAATATGTTCGCACAAAATAAAACACTTTTAACAGTTAAAAACGCGAAATAAACAGGTCAATATGTGTTTTTAGTATATACATTTATTTTTACTTTTATTTAACCCAACTACACATAAAAAATCTTACGTACTAACTTATAAATTAAAAAGCGGCTTATCGCTCGGGCAAGCAGCGACCTCTCCACTGGCATCCTGAAGTACAGGAGAAAAGAAGAAAAGACTTATTGTGGGTAGGTGCTCAGGAATAACAAACAAAAGAAGCGTACACGCAAAGTATAGATAGCACTAAGATAGTGGAGTCGAAATAACTTAAGAGTTTGAAAGGTAAAACTTATAGAGTAAACTTTTAAAAAACGGAGAGATTTAGCTTTTCTATATCAGTGGGAAGAGATTCCAAAGGCGAATCGCTTATGACAGTGGCGGAATTATTAAAGAAAGATGTTTTCTTAGGTACAATAAGAGAGATTGTCAATAGAACTAAGGTGTAAGTTTGGGAACCTAAATGGAAATTCTTTTATAAGAGGGAGTTAGTTTAGTATAATATGTTTTAATTTAATATAAAATAAGGTGTTTTAATTAATACGTGACATTGTAAGGATGTTGAAAGAAAACAATTTATTTTCAATTCCCGATAGGTATATATATTTCCAATACAAATTAATATAATACAAATCAATGTTTTGGGTAAATAATTAATAAACTTCGTAGGAATACATTGCCAATATAATATTATAGAAATGTAATATATCAATGGTTACGTTTTTGGTTAGAATGTGGTTTAATCTAAAAAGTAAGTTTGCTTGCAAGCTTTTATAATTTTATACTTCAATAAAAAAAATTGTTGATTTAATACAAAATAAATATCACATACTGGTATATATCTAAAAATTCGTGCAAGTAAATACTAAATCGTATTTGATACAAAATGTCTTTTATTACTTAAAACACTTAAATTTATACCTAAAATATGTAAAAAATAGTCTTTTGACTAGTAAATGAAAGAGGCATACATAAAAACAAAAACGAAATTATAAGCAAAATAGTTGCCCTACCAAAGCCTTATAAGCCCCTTTATTTATAACTAAAATATTTACAAAGCGATTTTGAGATTCACTTTTTAATAACTTTGAATCACAGCAGAAAATAATACTAATACGAAAACAAACAGGGTACAAACGATTAGCCCCTTTCACAGTTCCCACGGCTGGGATGCAGAACTCCCAAAAGGGTATATAGGCCATAATCTACCACTCTGACCAAATTTTAGTTGGTTTCTCCAGGTTGCCTTACAATATACACAAAAATCGATTTTAGATTAAAAAACTTCGACGTGGGCTTGAAACGGCATCCACACGGTAACTTAATTGGTTAGAGCGACAACGGGACGTGTAATGTGTATATATATTTTTTTTTTCAATCTAAAATCGATTTTTAGATTTATATTGTGCCATCATCAGTTTTCAAATATACGCGAAGACAAATATCTTTGTAAACAACCTTGTTTTTAATGGAATCCAGTGCTCATACCACTAGATCCCAATGCGCTAGGCCAAAGCGAACAAATACTAAAAAAACAAATTAAAATCACTTATAATCCATACCGTGTTGGCCTGATTGTTTTAGGCAATATTGAAATATAAAATAAGCCACAAAATTCGTGTTAAGTAATGTCTTAAACATATGATCAATAGTGGAAAGTAAGTGTACCATAACATTAAGTAAACTTGTCTCAATTTCTTAATTGACCCAAATATTGCTTACGTACTGAGATTTAGTAACCAATGCAATCTTAACTTATAAGTTATAACAATCAGAGCGTGTCGAGAGTTAAAATACCTATGTAAAAACAGTTGGTCAGTGTTTTTAATGTAATCGATAAGAATATCTTCAAATAAACTTTAAGCCAAGATATTGTCGCTTCTACAATTGTTGATGTAACACGCTTTTCAAAAATTCGTAGTGTATTAAGTCTAATAATATTCATATACATATGAATATATTTTTTATTGTAACATATAAACAACTACTACTATAAAGTACTATTTTTTTTATTTTTAACGTAATAAAAAAAAACAAAACACATAGAAATTGTAAGCGAGTAATTCATAATAAAATATGTACGCTAACAATACTGTAGATAAAAATTTGCGAGCCGATTATACTTCTCAATTCCTTTAAACAAAATGTAAAGGCAATGAATATAATAATGATTTACCTAGCCGCCTTCCAAAATGCTTCTCAACAGCCGCCTTAACTAATGTATCACGTTTAAGTTGTATATGTCAGTATATATATTTTTGTAATTTAAAAATCGAATCGTTACAGGTAGAAAACTATCTAATGCTGAGCGAGTACGAGAACAATTTGATAGCAGAACTACCAAACCTGAACGAGCGTCGTGGCAGGCGCTGGTCGATAGTAGTTGCAAACTCGCAACAACAATCGAACCAGGACAACCACAAAACGCCCGAACACAACAACTCGATCAAGTGGAAGAAAAAGTGCCATAACGCAAATAACAGACTGATAACGGTAATCAACGAGGCCTCTATGTAAACTACGATACATTGTCTAATATAGGATGACAAGTTAAGCAATTGGCAATAGAAAGAGGGTAGTTTGGCAATTTTGTTTTCTTTCAAATAGATTTGACTAATAGAAATAAACAAAACTATAATAACTGCCATTTAATCTTAGTTTTTATAAGATTTTAGTCAATTTTATTCGACCGTGGATATTCTATTGTATCATAGATTACTCGCTTGCACTTGTATGTGTGTGTGTGCGCGCGGTACCCACCAACAAGTACCTGTAGTATCTGTATGTCCCACAAAAAGCGCAGTAATTCAATCGAAAACTGACAACTTATCATCCTATAATAGACAGGGTGTAGTGAGTAATATCGAGACAATAATAAAAAGAAATCGTTAGTCGTGTAACCTATTTAACCTCGTAATTTATTTGACGTGTGTGTGTATAGAATTTGTGTATTGTTCAATATAATTTATTAAGTAAATTATAATTAGAAGAATGAATTTTGATTTTTTAATTATCATCACCCACCCTCTAACAGTTTCCTGTATCCAAAAGGCAAACTATAACACTCTTCTATAGTTCAATAACCATAATAAAAGTTAAATAGTTAAAAAATCATAGATATACTTCGGATGATTTTCATGTGATTTAAAAAATCAACAACATGAAATAAATATTTCAGGGGAAGAATATTGCATGCAAAAATTGTTCTTGCATTTCTTAAGAATCCAGAACTATTATTTTCTAATACGTCCAACTCACGTGCAATTTTAATATATAATATAAATGGACGTATTGAAATACATCGATACAAATAAGGTAAAAGTACTATTTTTGTACAAACCTCACAATAGTATGTTCTTCAACTACAATTTACTATAAAAGGAACTATGAAGCTTGATAGGATGCGCAGTACAAAATAATAAACACTAAAAACCTAAAAGGAACTTAAGTCTCATAATTGATGTGGAGTAACAATATCCTCGATGAATTGAGCGAAACAACGAACAGCCTGCAGAATCGCCGCCAAGAGTATTGACAGCGAGAGGCTCACCAACTTCTGACTGTCCGACTGGACTAACTCGTTGTTCGCAACAGGAACTAAATGTGTACTAGAATCTACGCTAAGAATACTTGAGTTATCACAATCGACACTATAGACATTTGTACCCACCGTCCTCTCAGGCTTATCGACATCACATGTCACATTGATCACAATGAAATCGGAACAATCTATAACACCGCTGGAACTCAGCACATTCCTGTTATTAACGTCGCTAGAGCAACTTGGAATCTCATTCCATTTCACACACTTGTCATTTAGGCACTTGATTACTTCGTTATCTACACCTACGTTATGCTTAAGTGAGTCATCGTTTTCACCCGATGACATGCCACTGTCTATATCTGGACTCGACAATTCGGATTCTTGTGATGAAAAGTGATTATCTAAAACTTCGAAATTCGTTTCTTTGAAGCTACCGTAAGATTTACTTGGCGCTTTCGTTGGTACCGTGCCTTGTGCAGGCACGGCCTCTTGTCAAGACATAGCGGTACGTGGTAATATCCTCTTTATTGTACTGTAGGTTTGCTCTTGGGTCCCTAGTAGGCGTTCGACGTCAAGTGATGCGTTGTTCAGTGAACAGGCGTCATCAATTAACATGTCGGAGCGAATTCCCTGCAATTAATTAAACCATTGTCACAAATAGGTATGAATGTTCTTTATTGCTATAGCAGTCACGGAAATATATTAAATATGTACGGCCTGAAACAGGCCAAGTGTGAGATGGGAAAGATCTTATTCAAATTTTTTCTCTTCTTGTGTTTTGAAATTTGAATAACATTAAAAATGGATGTAGACAAGTTTTTACATACCTCAGAAAAATATTTATATTCTCTCTCAAATGTTAGAATAAACATACAGAAAATAGTTGTCAATATGTAGCTGCTCAGCGTTGTAATTATATTACATATGTACATAACACTGGAATCACCTGTAAATTTGTTGTATTAATAAAACTTTTTTTATAATTTTTATATAGTAAAAACACCATAACTCAGACAATTAAAAATTTGTTTACCTTGCGTTAAAAAGACAGATAAAGTCCCAAAAATAGCCATAAGAACTAGAAAAAGGAAGCTCAAGTTGGATAGGCATTGTCTCAACACCGTCACTTTCTTCTCGTAAAATAATGTAGAATTATATGTTGTAAGGAGACACTGAAAATTATACAATCTTAGCATATACATAGAAAATAACTTACAAATACAGGTCACTATTTATATACCTGTAACCACATATACAGTGTCCCAAATCCATAAAGGATTATGTCAAGGGCCTTTACACTAGTATCATCTACCTAAAAACAAAATTTTAATTAATTATATGTATGGTAAATATTAGTACAAATAAGTTGTAATGTAGATAATTGACCTAGATTTGCAACTTGTGGTTTACTAAGATCTTCAAACTATTAACCTTAATAGACAGACAACCGAGTAACTGACGTTATGAATTAAGATCATGTTTCCTCATACCACTTTTATGCCATAAATTCATTACATTACTAATGTTGTTTACGGTTAGATTGCCAAAAACCAGTATAAGATGTCGCAAAGTTTTCCAAAAACATATAGATTTAGGACTTCAAATCTAGTACAATACTAACATAATTAAAGTTAGATAAGATCAATATATCAAGTGTCTGACAGAAATTAAATTGACTAAATTTGCCTATTTCAGTTTCAACATTACCAAAACTGCTAAACAACAAAACCTTGTCAGTTCCAGGACTCCTCACAAAAGCTTACCTTAACTAAAAAGAGACATAGTTGACTTAGGAAGCCCAGAGTAAGAAATGATGCTGAAATTGAGGCTACCCTATTAACATATAGAGTCACATTTGGATTTGGTGTTAGTGAGCTTAGTATATGAATGTGCTGGTATCTGTCATATAGGATTTTTCCAGCTGAAAACATGAAAGCACATTTTGTTAGGACAAATATATAATACACATGGTTTTAATTTACTACAGCATAAGAGTATCTATGAAGAAGCTTTTAATATAAATATTAAGTTTTTTTTGTAATAAATTTTTAGTTCTATATTCATTAAAAGTATTAAATTCCTCTCACCTATTGCTCCACTTGCTACATACAAACATGCAAGGCCAATGTTCAAAGAATTGGCATCTTTTGCAATTTCCGAACTTAATCTGGAAAATCAACAAAAATTTTAAACTGATTGTAGTATAAAAAGTACACCACAAAAGTGAAAGGCATCTTACAAAAATATATCATCTTATTGGTACCAAGTTTAAGAAGTTTTAAATACGAACGAAATTCTTATTTACCATTAATGTTTAATGCAGAACATTAAAATAAAAGTCAACATTTTAAACCCCAATAAAATTTTACCATAATCCATAAAAAATAAATACACTTACGACAGTACGAATGCAGCAAAAAATATTACAAATGCACTCTTAAAAATTAACATATTAAAGTATATTAGAAATATACTTAAAATATATAATCTGTGTGCAAAACACAAAACAAAAAATTAAAACCATTAGAACAATATTTTTATAGCAGCAACCACTAATCACTTGGCTTTGAGCCTTTAAATAAAAATGTGATAGAATAATATTATGACAACTTAAGAATTAAGAGACATTGTTAATTGTCAAAACTTGTCAAAAGTTGACACATCAAAGGTACAGTGAAAGCAGCAATAGTATAATAATTAATAATATATCATATAGACACTAAATGAGAAAAAATCACAGACGGATAACTGCTAATTTATTGTAAAAAAACTTCTTAGGTAAGTACAGTGGTTTGTACGAAACACTATTATATTATAAAAAAACCACACACAAAAAAAAATGTGTTCCTTTTTTATTGCCTATGCTTTTACGGGCCCTTTTACATGTGACCTACAATAATGTAAATAAAAACATAACGTTTACAAGTAATGAACTAATAAATAATTGTATGGTTAATCCATCCCGGCACACAGGATAAAAAAGTTTAACATTGCTATTGTTGCCATATAATATAAAAAATATTAGGGTTTTTTGGAGGCTCTTTCGATAATTTTCTTTCTTTCTCTTAGGATAGTCCTCAAAATTTTAAGAAATTTTAAGTTAAGTTCGTTCTTAGTTATTAAAAATATTAGTACAAAATTAATTTCAACTTTTTTTTGTTTGTTTATATAATATTAGTTGTTGCCATAAACTATGAAGTTGCTTTGTTGTTGTATGGCATAGTAGTTATATATTTTATGGGATTAATTGCTTGGCAGTGACAATTAAAGTTACTTTTAAAATTGAGTAGGTACTTAATCAAATAGTACTAGATAATAAAAGCAACCTAAACTTAAATTAACACTTATGCGCTTTAAGTGTTTGTTTATTTCACTTTTCTGCCAGCTGCGAAAAAGTGTACTAAAAGATACCAAGTCAAAACTTTTTTTAGAATTGACGTTATTGGTACTGTTATGATAAATGACAATTGACACATTTTTTAAGTTTTGGAGGCAAAAGCAAATTACTTTTAATGATATATTTTTTATAGTATTAGTATTTACAATTTTAAGCTAAAAAACATAGGACAGCTGCTGTATTATAAAGATCCGGTACATAGATGCTGGAAGATAAAGAAAACGTTAATGTTTAAATAAAAGTCTTACATTTAATAAGTTTCTTGCAGAAAGTACAAAAAAATTTAGAAAAGAAGAAATGTCTTCATTGCAACCAATACAAGCTTTAAACTTAGGTAAGTTAAGTATTAGTCACTGGCTAATTAGGCACAAATTATTTTAGTTTTGTTTAGTTGTTATAAAACATTAAAACATGTGTTAACTAATAAATGTAACTCAATGCATTAAAACTAGACCACTCTTGAAGAAGCTGAGTTTCCTACTACCACTACTCCTACTAGAGTTTTTAATACGAAATAGTTATCCTATTTTTGAGCCTCTTGACTCTATATGTGTGAAAAAATGATTTTTGCCTTTGAACATGGGATACACTCATGTCTGTATTATTGTAATTTCTTCTGCTCAAGTTTGGGCAGTGCTCGGTATTGTATTAAACACAATTGAGAAGTAAAGGTTAATAATTACTTTGTTTATTGACTAATAAAACAATGAAACATATTCAATTATAATATTTTTTTATTTATAAACTTATAATTCTAAGTTAGGTAACTAACATACACAAATCTCTTTTCAGATTCAGTCAAACAGCAGGCATTCATTAAATACTTCAATGCATTACCAGAGGTAAAAATAACTATTATTATTTTTTTGGACGTAATGTTTTATGCTTTGAGCAACATACAAAAAAAAACTAACTTTTGTTAAACCAAGAAACAATACTGTCTTTTGTATTTTTAAGTTTATGACCAAAAGACTTCCAGAAGCCAGGTTTCTCTGTTTCTCCTTCTGGTGGCAAAATCTCTTGTTGTTCCTTGAGTAAAGTTTGTCCTTGTGTTGAAATTTCTTTGGTCAGTTGTTCATTTTCTAAAGATGGAATTTGATCATTATAAGAATGTTTGGCAGTTGTAATATGTGGTATTTGCTCTACTTGTTGGTTTGAATCAAGTTTTGATATAGGTTCCTGTTGACCATATAATAGAGAATGGTTTTCAATTTTGTCATTACTTCTTCCATACTGTTCAAATTGTTCTACATTCTGAATGGTTGCTTATCATTATTTCTTCCATTGTAATTGATGTTGTATGTTTTGAACCTCTTGGTTATCATTATCTCCTCCATGCTGTGCAAATTGTAGTTCTAGGTTTTGTACCTCTTGATTATCATTTCTTTGTCCATAATGCTCGAATTGTTGCCCTAGATCTTGGACCTCTTGGTTATCATTAGTTTGCCATAATGCTCGATTGTTGCCCTAGATTTTGCACCTCTTGGTTATCATTAGTTTGGCCATAATGCTCGAATTGTTGCCCTAGATCTTGCACCTCTTGGTTGTCATTAGCTTGGCCATAATGCTCAAATTGTTGTTCTAGATTTTGCACCTGTTGGTTATCATTATCTTTATAATTAGAAAAATTTTCTAATTCCTGTCCTTCACTTTGTTTATTGTTGCTTGGTTGCCATGTATTCTGTGAGAATTGACTGATATCTTCTATTTCTTGATTACTTTTCTGTATAGGTTCCCAAGAGCCTTGAATTTGCTGTCCTAAATCAAAGCTTTCCAAATCTTGATCTTTATTTTGCATATCCATTTCAAACGGGTATTGCTCAACTTCTTGGACATTATGTCCTGAGATTTCCCTATTTGCTTGTTTATCCTGTACCACATTGTGCAACAAGAAATTTGCTGTATTGGGGTTGTTTTGATAAAATGCGTCTTTATTATCAACTGGTTTAGGAGATGTCTTTTCAATTTGTTCAACAATAGGTTCATGTTTCAAGAAAATTTCATTAATTATCTCTTCATTACTTCTTATGTCTTCATTTTCTCCACTGTCCTTTTTGTTATTTGTAATAGATAATGGTTTTGTTAAACTAAGAGATTCTATTTCATCTGGTGTCTTATACCGGTTTTTAGGGGTTGTGTGGCTGTAAATTGTAGCAATATCTTCATCATCTGATATTATAGATTCATCTGCTCCTATATCACCTCGACCAACATCACCTGGTTTCAAAGGCGTTATTGGTTTAAAATGAGTTGTTGGCTTATTTGTAGTAGTAGCTCTTTCTGTATTTGTTGTAGTGCTTGAGATAGTAGAGGTTTGCTTTTTCCAGAGATTTGTAGATGATTCTCTATCAGAATGAATCAAATCAATTGCTCTGTCATCATCATTATTTTGCTCCCATTTTGATTGGTTTGAGTCATTATTAAAATAAGAGTTTCCATCATTTTCATTTCCATTTGAGTCTATTTTAAATCCTCCTTGGTTATCTAAATTGTCTAACTTGTTCCAAAAACCGTCTAGTGGGGACGATGATGAATGATATCTATGTTGCCAAGACGACATACCCATATCGTTGTTATTATCCCAATGGTGGTATCGTTGTTCAGAAAAGCCCCCATTTTGATTATTTAAATTTATGTATTGATTATGTTGATATACATTTTTATCCTCTGCTGTATCTGTTATAGGCTTAACATAATAGGGACTATCGTTATAGTCTTTAGGATGATTTTTCCTGAGAATGTCAGACATGGTCGCCAGTAATTGCTCTTGTAGTGCTAACTGTTGTTGTATTTGTGAGTCAAAGTTTTCTGAAGCGATTTCTTTTTGATCATACATTTTGTACGTATCTTCAGTATCCACATGCTTTTGATTCCAAAAAAGTTCGCCGCTATTATGTTTTTGTTTCTCAACTCCTTGAAATAGGTTAATTGTTGGCACATCATACATATCTTTATGGCCATTTTGTGTAAAATCTAAGTTGTCTTGTGTTTGTTGCTGTGTCTCTCCTGGTAAAAAGTTAAGGATAGTTATAAATGTAATTTTATTTTTTTTAATACCAGTGATTAGTCATGTTTTGATTAGTTGAGAAAAGCGGTACGTCAGAAATGAAATGCAATATTAAATTATGTTAATCATTGTAATTGTTCAAACGAAACACTTAAAATAATAATAATTATATATATAAATGCTTAAGTCAGAACACATCAATTTCTGGATGATTGTTTCTCATCTGTTAGTATGAATGACTAGGCCCACTTACTTGGTGATTGTTCATTTATCTGTTCAAAATTTTCCAAGTCATTGTTATTCAGCTGACCAATATTTTGCTGTGATTGTTGAAAATCTGATAGGTCTGTTTCTCTTAAATTTTGTATGTTTTGCATTTCTTGTCCAAATTCCAATTTGTCCTGTGACTGCTGTTCTAAGTCTTGGGTTGTGTCCCATTTATTTTGAGTTTGCTGACCCAAGTCTTCTAATTTGTCCCACTGATTTTGAGTCTGTTGCCCTAATTCTTCTAACCTGTCCCATTGATTCTGCGATTGTTGCCCTAAACTCTCCAAGTTATCCCATTGATTTTGTGTTTGTTGCCCTAGATCTTCAATGTTTTCATATGGTGATTGTTGACTAAACGTATTTCCACCATATCCGGGATTCGGTGAGCGGGCAACACGTACATGTCCATTTTCGTCGCAGTCTACGCCATTATGCGAATAACTTTGATGCGCGCGGTTGAAGAGTTGGCCATATTGATGACTTGAATAGGCGCCTTGGTTCGCAGATGCCGAAACGAGTTTTTGTGATGTTAGGCCATCAGCTTCACCGCCTACAGGTTTTATCACATATGGATCACCACGTCTCTCCCACGATTTATGATAAGAATAAGATGAATGATAACTCTTCGGTTTAGCGTTAATGTTTTCAACTAAATCATTTGCATCTAATCTATCAGCTGAATCTGAAGTGTGTGTTCCAAGCGTGTATGCATTCGATTGTGCTGCAGCCGAGTTTTGGGCCTGCGATTCATAACGATACTTCGATTTATTAGCGCTTGAAGATTTTGTGTTGGCGTTGTACATATTCGATTGAACTACGTTTGCGCTGCTTAAATGATTCACATTCTCGCTGCTAGAATGAGCTCTGCTCGAATCTAATGAATTGTATTGACTCTTAGCGTTTTGCAATAGGACAGAATCATCATAAAGCTCACTATCTTTCGGAAAAGGATTTTCAGTGGGCAGACCCGCTGCTGGTTGCGTATTATGTTTTTCCCATTCATTTCTGTAGCTATACGAGGATTCATAATGTTTCGGTTTATTGAATTGAATCGTACCTGGCTTTATGTAGATACGACTATCGCTATTTGAGTTGACTGCTTCTGCGTCCGAATTGATACTATTCTGGTTGAAAGACCCCACTCTTTGTGATGACGCGTCATAGGTTTGAGCAGAAACTGGTATTGTGACTATTGAGCCGGGCCTCACCACTACTCTTATCGGGTTATCCGATCCTTGTCTGCCGTACGTATTCGAGCTGTAAAGGTTATTGATATTCGCTTCATACTGATTTTGAGCTCCACTGGCATCCTGAGTATAATATTTATAGTCCCTGTCGGCAGCTTGACCTCCATAACTGTATTTATTATTTGCTTGGTGTAAACTGGCAGCTTGTGAGTTTTGGTTTTGTGCGTAATCATTAGAATGGTGGTCTAAGTAGTCGGCTGTTTGATAACCAGAGCTGTGTCTCGAACTCTTCGTGTAACCACCACGGAAACCGGAGTTTTGATAAGCGAGACCGTTGTGGCCACTGTTTTGAGATGTTAAAGATGAGTGTGAGAGTGAATCCTCAAATGCCTGGCTTTCCTCGAAGTTTCTTCCCTGCAAGTTACTGAGATCGTAATGGCCTGATCCGAATACTCCTCTTGAGTTGGCAGCTGTGTAGACACTTCCCGATTTCGCTTTTGCTCCATCGCCCAGCTCTCCTTCTACTTGCCGAACGGCACTACTCATTTGGTGTTGAGCTAATCCGTCCATGTTATGCGCCTTTTCGTAGTTGCCTCCCATGTTACCTCGCTGCGCTCCGTAGAATCCTGACTTTGAGCCCTCGTCTGAGGAACTGCGAGAATATTGGAAATCCTCACTTTCTTTGTACATTTCTGGCTTAGCTAGTGCCAATGCGCAGACTGATGCCATTACAAGTAAACGCCTCATCGTGGCTGATATTTGAGTTCTGAAAAAAGAAAGATTTTTAGCACTAAATCTTTGTAATCATTATTTAAATGTTAAATTGTTTTGTTTTTATTTTGTCGCGTTATTAAAAAAATAGTATTCGATTAATAAAATAGTGATGCATATAAAAGTTTTTTAATATTCAATTCATTTGTATAGACAAAAATAAAACGAATGTATTAAACTTACATTAAATAGTAATAATTTGTTCATACACAATTAAATAAAAAAATTAAGCACTCTACACTGTCCACTTGTCCAGGCCACTGAAATTGCTCTCGAAGAAAACGAGAATTTATTTAGCTTTTAATATTATATCTGAGCAGTGATAACCCTCTGCCCGGTCATGACTGATCTTATTCTCAGAAAAGCGATCTGCAAAATACGACAATCCAATAGACGCACTATTACTTAAATCCTTCACAAAATATATGACAACATATTTATTAGCGGTTGTGATTGATACCCTGAATCATTGGTTATTATCCTTATGACTGTGTGTTTGTTTATAACAATTAGAAGATTTGGATTTAAATATTCTAAAGTCACATACACATACAGTTTTTGAAAATAATAAACGATCAGTTCGTATATATACTACTTCGTATAGATACTATACTACTGGCCGAGTATAGTATAGCAGAAAAACCTAATTTCTCCTTACAACCTGTAGACGTGGATTTGAGTCCCGCCCGTGTCGTCGATTTTTTTTCAGAATAAAATAGATTTATGATTTCGTCTAGTTTAGTACTAACTAGATGTTTATATAATAAACAGACGAAGACCAGAGTAAATAACTACTTTTATTATAGCTGTCCTTCAATGATTCAGCACCAATGTATGATATCATTCTTCTTTGAAACGTAATTTTGTGAGTAGGTTCCGAAAATTTCTTATTGTATACCGAACAGTAGTTGACATTTAAGTATGTCTTTTAAAGACAAAAAATATCGTGTGTCAGCCTGGCTCAACAGTATTGATTCCTTCCGAAATAAATCACAACATATTGTTATTGATAAAACGACATTGCTCCTGTTTCATATGTAGGTCATGCATTCAAGGATAGATTCAGAAAAATACGAAACTTTCTGTAGAGAAAAATATAAGGAAAATATATTTTTTTAACAAAATATTGCTATGTCTTCTATTATTAACAATTCCATGGTAAAAATAAGCTTTAATGTTTCCTTTAGGTGTAGTATGTTGATAGATATAATAATTTACCTCTGGTTTGGTTAAAATAAGTAAATACTGTTTGCAGTTTACACGAGTAGCACACATTTAAACAAAACACTAACGGTTTAAACCGATAAGATTATATATTAACGGGAGTCTCCCGATGGCCACGGTTGCTGCAAAGCATCCGAAACGTCGGGCCGTGGTTAAAACACTTCTAAATAAGTTTTATTTAGTACGACATTTTCTTTCGATAAATTAAACCTTCTATACCGACTAAACAATTTAGTACTGAGTTCAGTAATACAATATGTCTTCGAACGTTTCAGAAACCACCAACAACTGTACGAATCTTCGATCGCAATGATTACTACAGCGTCCACGGTTCTGACGCCACAACGGCTGCAAAGGAAGTCTTCTCAAGCCTGTCGCACATCAAGAAGATGGGCATTGAACCCAATCGTCAAGACTACCTTGTCTTGTCGAAGGGAAATTTCGAAATTCTTATACGGAAGTTGTTACTGGTATAACACTTATTATTTAAGCTCTATAACATCTACCCAAGATGTGTTGTCGACCTGTTTTGTATTCGGAATTCCACACACTGAAAAGGCGATTAAACTTGACGGCTTCGGACCCAGACGGAATTTCTATATTCCTATTAACCATTTATTACCCAGATTTCCAGACGAAGTCTTTAAAAAAAATATAGTTGATAAGACAAATGTTGCACCCAGGTGGGGATCGAATCCACGCCATTGATATCTCAAGCTAATTACATTTTTTTGTTTATTAAGTTAACATTATGTTTTTTCAGGTACGTCGTTATAGAGTAGAGATATACGTAGGCGAGGGGTCTAAAAACGAATGGTTGTTGAAATACAAGGGCTCGCCGGGCTGTTTGTCTCAACTGGAAGAGATCGTTGGCGAAGGGCTCAGCAGTTCCAACGACAATGGCCCTTGTCTCATCTCCGTTAATATTAAGACGGATCCTGTTACTAAGGTAGATATGAAGTATTGTCTGTGGTTAACGCGAGTTGAATACGTGAAGCTATAATCTTATGCTGATTTACGTGAAATAAATTAGTTTAATACTTTATTTTTAATATTTACAACAATGACCCGACGGTTCAATCGGATTTTCAGGTCTGTTTCAGGTAGTTCAAAATAAAGAATATATTTAGCGTTTTAAACTGTAAAAAATTTCGGTTAATTTCTAGAACTTCGTAAGGACTAGTGAAATACTTCTAAAGATCACACTCCCAAAGAATCGATTAATAAAACAACCTTAGGTGACTAAAGGCACGTAAAAACGTAACATTTTGAGATTATAGAAAGAAAAAAAATACGAAAACAATCTAAAAATACATGCTTTTATATAAATAACAAATCTTTAAAAATATAAATAAATGAAACAATTTTTTAACGGATATATATAACAAAACAATTCATCAACGTAATTCTTTATCTAAACTTGACCATGATTGCTGATATGCTGTTGGAATCTTGACCCGGTGTCAAATTAACTCGATCCTCAGAAGTGGAGATAACTGAGTGCAAATGTAACATGTATTCCTAGATTTGTTTGTTTTTGTGTTAAATCAGCGTTTTTCATGTTTTCCCCACCGTTAATTATCATATGAAATTCCCAAGATTAATAAAATCTACGACCCTTAACTTAACAACATTGTCATATATTTAACACTGCAACAAAGTCTATTTTTAAACATGCTATTCAAAATAACAAATTTTTAGCCATCTTGAGCTTTGTTAAGAGTTTTTCAACAAGATTTAACGCTAACGTTTAACGCTATGACGTCACTGCTATCAAATATAGCTGTGACGTCATAGCTAGGTATCAATTTTATATGTTTACAGCTGTATGTTGGTAAAAAACGTCTTGAGCTGGCAATAATATATAAAATATCCCACTGTGTTGTCCTCATGGAATTTCCATTTTGATTTTCCCCGTTCATATGACATACAATAATATTGTAACGCCAAGTTTTTTTAGTTTGTTTGTGTGTGGTTTGAAAATTTTTTGTCCTAAATAATTCTTACGAATATTATAAATGCGAAAGTAACTCTGTCTGTCTGTCTCTCTTTCACGCCAAAACTACTGAACGGTTTTGAATGAAATTTGGTACACAGATGGTCTAGACCCTGAGAGAGGACGTAGGCGAAATTTGTATTAAAGGCTTTTATATAAAAAAGTTTGGAAATTCGTGGATTTTTTAAGCTAGAATGAAACTTTCTTCTTTGGCTTTTTGGGAATAGGTGTGGGAGTGCTAGTGAGAGTGGGAGTTAGAGTAGGAGTGATGTGAGGTGTGAGTGTTGCGACAAAGTAGCACTTACAACATAGATTGGCTGCGATAAATGCGCAATTACATAAATTAATAAACGGCCTAAATAATTAAAAATTCTACCCCAAGTCACTATTCCACGCGAACGAAGTCGCGGGTACAGCTCGTAAAATTATATATTTGTTTATTTAGCCAGTGGAATATACTCCTTATACCTAAGAATATTTAATTAAGCCCATTATTTACTTATTCCAGGGCCGTCTTCTAGGCGTTGCGTGTATAACGGCAAACGACTACCAGATCTCAGTGGCAGAATTCACTGATGACGACTTGTTGACGCAGTTGGAGACTATCACGGTCCAATTGGCACCTTCTGAGTGCATCGTACCGCTCACCGAAAATGATGATGTAAGTCAATGGGTAAAACTTCATTTTTAGGGTTCCGTACCCAAAGAGTACTACGGGACCATAACTAACGCTCGCTGTCCGTTTTTTAGAACTTTGTATGGTGCACCGTGATAGACAGTTGAATTATTTGAATAGATGGCTTATACCCCCATCGGGTCCAACAATTCTCTAATCAAGTTATAATCTTTCTGAAACATGTTGGACTTCGTCGGGAAATATAAAAAAAAAAACAAAATTAGAAATAAAATGAATGAATAGTACGTGGCCTGGGCGGAATTTCGGAGTACTCCGAAATTCCGCCCAGGCCACGTACCACCGTCCACAGATGAAAAAGCCGTCAAATTTTAAGCCTATTTCGGTTTCAGTCTGGATTTCCGAAAGTCCAAAGGTCGACAGCGCATCTGATGTAAATGTTATATGGCTTGTCTGTCCTCGTTTATAATATTAAAAAATATATTTATGAACACAAATCTGTTTTTTGCAGTACAAAATTTAGTTTACTTTTAAATAATAGGCTACAATAAATATTAAAGAGGGCGCCAGTCAGACCTGAACTTACTCATTTTCTTTTCTTCACACTTGCTTTTATATAAATAACAAATCTTTATATAATCAAAGAAATAAAAGTCACGCATTTAAGGTGTTTTTTGTCAACCGAAATTCTTTATATTTCAGTATAAGACCCTTAAAAAGGTTATGGAACGTGCAAATATAACTGTGACGAAATTAAAGAAGGTGGATTTCTCCACTGAAGGTCTCGTACAAGACTTGAACCGCCTGTTGAAATTTAAAGATGCTCAGATGCAGGACGCTAACGCCTTCCCCGAGACCAGAATGGGTGCTGCCATGGTCAGTCTGGCTGCTGCTATCAGATATACATCGCTTATTAATGACTCCACTAATTTTGGAAGGTACTTCTTGCATTTGCTACACATTCTTCTAGTCTCTAAAGATTTCATATTATTTAAAGGGCTTGTTTGTGTGCGAAAAGTGAAAATTCTTCCTGTTGGGCACGGGGTGAATTGGCTACTTATACACCCATAGGAGGGTGAGCCAAAGGGGGGGAACACATATTATAAAAGCTAGTTAGAGAGTAAAGTGAGCAATGAAGAAGGGTGGGATTAGGATTTTTACAATTAACCATGAATACCCCCCCTATTACCCATATTAATAGCCCGAACAACATTTCTAAACACTTTATTTGCAGGCAAATAGTTGATCAGACTTTTGTGCTTTGCGAGAAAGAAACTTTCGTGGGATTTGAAACCAGGACTATACGTGTTTAACGATAACAAAATTCAATTAGACATTAGGCTATAGTTAATACTTATAAATAAATAGAATTTACGTTTAGCTAATGTTTTACAACATTGACTGTGATAATGAACAGATCAACATGTTATCGCAACTTTTTCCTTCTTAACATATTGTATGTAGTGAACAACAGATACATACATATTATAATTATACATACTAAATATAACTATTGTAAAGTCATTAATATTTTTATTATGTAATTTAGCTTATTTACGTTAAAATAAATTTGATAGGCCTATTGGTATAATGGTAGTGGTAATAAGCGGGTGGCGAGTTCCATCCTCACCGGATCCAACATTTTCTAATCATTTTATCATTTTTCTGAAACATGTTGGACATCGATATTCCATCAGGGTCGTAAAGCACCACAGATGAAGAAGCTTTTCAACTGTGGTGCTGTTTCAGCCTGTGGGATTTCCGAATATCTAAAGCCAAAATAGGTCGACACATCACTCTGTTAACATGTTATATTTGTTGCTTGTATATTTGACCTACTATCAAATGAACTCTATCTAAAAAACAGTAAATAAATAAATAAATATTCTTTATACTGTCCTCATCGAAGATTGATAAAACATTAACAAAGATTTTTGGGATTTGCGAGCTTAGCTTATTATCTTATTTCATTAACTTATTATCAATTATCAATAACATAAAAATGTGTCTGTCAAGCTTTATATACGCAACAAGATTTACTGACACTATAGTTCTAGTAAATACTAAGAAAATAACTTTCGCTTAACTAAGTTCAATATCTGATAACATGTATGATCTCTTGCATTAGGAAGCGATGATAAGTCACAGATAGTGAAATTGTAAACAAAGAACTCGAGCATGCATCTCGAAGCATCGATGGAATATAAATAATTGCACTCATTAATGACCCAGACTACGAGTAATAATACTTAAATATATATAAATACTGATAGCAGATGAGATTTTTAATTGTCTCCAAGAATTCTTAATCTACAAGTTTGTAAACAACAAATGTCGTCATTCGTTACAAACTAAGACCGACTTATTTCACCAGTAAATCATGGAGTTACATTTTTACGAAATATATTAGTACTGATTACATTTCCCGTTTCAAACCGTTAAAAGTGTTTTAATTATATGTGGACGTATATTTGTACGCGTAAACTATAGACAATTGAACGTATGTTTATATCTTCTAATTTCAGATTTCGTTTAAATACGATAAAAGCAGAATGCTACCTTCATCTAGATGCAGCTGCTCTTAGCGCGTTGAACGTATTACCAGAACTAGGGGATAATACGCACGCACCCGCTAGAAGTTTGTATGGTTTACTCGATAGATGTCGCACCCAACATGGTAAAAGGTATTATTATATCAATATTCTTACCGACTTAATAGTTTTTCAGTCTATCGAACAGACACACAGAAACCTGATCAATAACTTTGTCTGTAATTATATTTACACTGATCACTGAGAGAGACAGAAATATGTCTGCTCCATACCCCAAAAATAAAGAAGCGATATCTAGATGCCTCGATGTATATCTAGAAAGATTAGTGTTGTACTCATATAGCAATAAATTCAGAATTTAACCTTGAGCATTAGCCATTTGTTGCTACCACTAGTGTCATCTGTCAAACTTTCAATTTACATAAATACATAGGTTCCTAAGTTTGTTTTACTCCTAATTACAGTGTATACTTTTACGATGTACCTTTGCTTATATTTATTATTTCTTACATCTAAGACTAAGACTTAGTAGCCTTTTTCTATTTCTTTTCTCCTTTACTTCAGGTTGCCTGGAAGTGATCTCTGCTTATCGATAAGGCCGCCTTTTATTTATAAGATGATTTTTCTCTTTTATATGTTTTCTGGTATGTGTTATAAATAATAAAAATAAATAAAATAACAATTATCTGTAATAGGCTATTGGCTCAGTGGTTACGCCAACCGTTACGCGATATAAACCTTATTAACGAACGTCTGGATATTGTCGAGCTTCTAGTCGAGAACTCTCAATTGCGCCTGCAGCTGCACGAAGACCACTTGCGCAGGATTCCAGATTTGCAGGCTTTGGCCAGAAAATTAACCAGAAAGAAGGCTAATCTGCATGGCTGCTACAGGATATACCAGGTTTGTCAGTCGCCATATATACATTTTCATTTAATAAGTATTATAGACATTTTTTTTTAATAATTACAAAGACTACTAAAACCTACGACCAATGTCTTGTTTATCCATTTTTTTTCCTGCATACACTTCTGGCGCTATACATTCGACCAAGTGCCGTCAATGAACTTGCTAATAATCATTTAATACGTGTCGTAAATTCGTTTCCCACCGGTGCAAACTTCTTTCTAAAGTTTTCATTTTCAAAAACATCGACATCCTCGAAAATTTGGACATTTAAATGGGTGATAGGAATATCGAAACTAGAAACAGGTCTTAATCCACAGTCTACAGAAAAAAATAAAGTTTAAATCCGCGCGGATTATCTATCGAATGTCCAAAACCATAATAGATGGACAACGCAGCTTGTTTAGATGATAACGCTGATGCAATAGTTCGGCCATCACGTGATCATCATGTCTGTGTTCCTCTGTCTTGAAAAAAACTTAATAGTACATAGTACATACAGTAGCTACATTAATATCTCAGTAGATCAAATAATGGTTCGACACAAAAATAGATAGGGTAGTATCCGAAAGTTTGTAGTAATATATGTTTATAGGCCTTACAACGGTTACCGAACCTTCTACAATGTTTAGCTGACGCTAACAGCCCCACAGTCCACTCAACATTGTCGGAACCAATATCGGAATTGAACGATGACCTGGAGAAGTTCCAACAGATGATAGAAGCCACTGTCGATATGGAAGCTGTTGATAGAGGTAAGTTCGAGTTGACAGTGTTCAATCTTTTGTGAATTTTTAAAATTAGAATTTAGATTATTAGTATGCTTATACGCATACTAGATGGGTATCATACGCGTCTTAGCATTTCATTGTAATTTAATAACTTAACAAGCTTTTGAACATTCATTTTATTTTCATATGTTCATTCAATTTTAGGTTTTATTGCTTTTAGTTTATATTTTTAATATAGCAGCCAAAAAAGTGTGTACTAGTGTAAGTGTGGGTATTTAAAGGATGAAATGCCACACTAAGATACAGCTTAGTGGGTAAACTTGCCTTCTATCTTAGTTATTGGATTCTTATCCTATGACTCCTGAACCCTGAATCTACTTCGCTGAACGTATTCTTAGGTGTCGTATGGTTTGATCGTAGGACATTCGCGCTAGTCTTTATAACTGTTATTTAATTGTTTAATTAAAATATATACCTTTCAGGTGATTTTCTCGTCAAGCCATCATTTGACGATCAGTTGCAAGTGTTGCACGAACAATTGGAGAAATACCAGATATCTGCTGAGAAGGAGCTGAATAAGGCAGCTAGAGATTTGGGATTGGATGCGAAGAAGACGATCAAGCTGGAAAACAATCCACAAAACGGGTTTTGTTTTAGGTCCTTACATTATTTATTAAAATAAAACATTTATAACGCAAAATGTTCACTTTTTTAAATTTGGGAGCTGTTACTACTAACTACGCCTCGATGTTTCGGATGCTTTGAAGCAGGCGTGGTCACGAAGGAGACGCTCGTTCCGTTTTATTAAATATCTATAAATAACTTAAATAATATAATAAGCTTGGATATTTGTATAGGGTAACATTAAAAGAAGAGCAATCACTTCGTGGAAACAAAAAGTACACAATAATTGACGCCGTGAAGGGCGGTGTGCGATTCAAAACAAACGCTTTGGACAGTATCACAGAAGATTACGTACAGGCTAAAGTAAATTATGAAAAGGAGCAAGACAAAGTCGTGGCTGAAATTATTGGGATTGCTGGTGAGTGCATTAGATGATCGCATAGATTAAATACCGTCTATAGTTTACGCGAATAGTACACATTTAAATAAAATACTTCAACGGTTTAAACGCGATACGCGACAATATTTTCTGAAACATGTTGAAAATCTGGATCTATATGGGTGATTTGAAGGAGTGTTGAAATTTCGTCCGGGTCATGTACCACCGTCTACAATAGAACAGCGGCCTCGTTTATTCGCGTTCAGTCTCAGTCTGTGGATTTGCAAATAACCAAATACGGCTGGGGTATATAATCTATGATCGAGTGAAGTCGATAAAAAAGAGAAAACAGAAATTGAAGCAGACGACATCGTGGGTAACAGCTTTAATTAATATTACTGAGCCAAATATGTCGTTATTTATATAGAAGAAATAAAGGCGAAGATATCGTTTGATTGCTGGTTGCTGTTGTGTAAATACATATATGTAGGTCTTAATTTTTTTTTTATGACCTGTGTGTTTTTTTTTCAGCTGGTTATTCGGAATGTCTATTCTGTCTCTCGCATATCCTATCCCGGTTAGACGTGCTGGTGTCCTTTGCTGTGGCTGCGTCCACCGCGCCTAATGCGTATACGCGCCCGGAAGTAACGGAAGCACTTGACGAATTCGTCCTTAGGGACGTGCGACATCCGTGCCTTGAAGTACAAGAGGGCGTCTCTTTTATACCTAACGATGTTTTTTTTAAACGAGGTATGTCTATATTAAGAAGTCCATTCGTTTTCAAAATCGTTGTTTTATCTATACTAAAATATAAAGCTGAGGAGTTGTTTGTTTGTTTGAACGCCAATCTCAAGTTCAAATTTAAAAATTATCTTTTTGTTCATTAGAGCATTTATTGATAACAAACTCAAATCGACTTTTAATTAAATTACGTATTACCCACCGTACTTTGAAGAAAAATTGGTTTTAGCCTTTCGAATTCAGAATGCCCACACATAGTTCAGCTCAGCGCAGCAATGCAGTTCGACAGGGCGTTTTATTTAGTTTTATTGGGAATTGCATTTAAATAAAAAGACTTCAATGGTCTAAAACGCGATATATATATCAGTTAAACTTAATAACTACTGCCCGACGTTTCGGAAGGTTTGCAGCAGCCGTAGTCTCGGAGAGACTAAAGATGGATGTCTCTGACGTCAGAGTAGAAACTGCTACGCTAGCGCCATCTGTTCCGTCGAAACTGTCCGAGCTCTGCAGTACGATTTCATTATGACCCTATTTTGTTCCAGATTCATGTCTAATGCACATAGTAACAGGCGCTAACATGGGCGGAAAATCTACCTGGATGCGTTCTTGCGGTATAGTGGCTCTATTAGCGCACGCTGGATGCCTCGTGCCCGCGTCTAGCGCTCGGGTTCCGCGGCTGAGGGCACTGTGCGCAAGAGTGGGTGCGGCTGATCGCGAGGAAAAGGGACAGAGTACATTCATGTTGGAAATGATCGAGTCCGCTGCAATTTTAAGGGTAAGTTTATATGTAAGATACAAGTTAAATAAATATTGTGTATTTATAGCCCAGCTTCATTTGGACTAACATACGATGTCAATCTATTTTGCCTTTGGATATTCGAAAAAGTTTATGGATGACTACAGATAAAGGAGTATTTCTCTCTATCAGAATATTTGTCTCTTTTAGTGTATAATGAGAATTTTCATCAATCAATATGACTTTTATCTTTGTATAGACAGCAACTCCAGATTCGCTGGTACTTGTGGATGAGCTGGGTCGTGGAACATCGACGTATGAAGGATGTGGAATCGCGTGGGCTATCGCTGAGTGAGTCGTTAATGTCACTATATACTCTCAACTAGCTGTGCCCTCGACTCCGCGTTCAATAGTTATTTTTGACATATTGTTGTGTAACAGGGAATATGTTTTTTTTTCTACACCTTTTTCCACCGACACTCCGCTCCTTGCTCCTCCTCTAAAATAATTTTTAAATAAGTTTAAGTAATACATATATATTGCGTTTTAAACCGTAGTTTTGGTGTGTAACATCTTTTAATTGTTTATTTTTACTAATAAAAACCATGGATTTTCCAGAAAGCTGGCGACGGAGAGCAAATGTTTTTGTTTGTTTGCAACGCATTACCACGAACTGACTCGCTTGCCCAGCCTCCACCCGAACATTATAGTGAACTCGCACGCAGAGGCGTCGGTGGTTGATCAGCAGTTGTTACTGTTGCATAAAATCGTCCCTGGGCCGGCAACACACTCGCTTGGACTTCACGTAGCTAAGTTGGCTGATCTGCCGGACTCTATTATTGAGGTATTTATCGATTTTAAAGTAAAAAAAAAATCATATACTAGGAATTAATTAAAGAAGAATAAAGATTTAATGTCTTGAGAGGTATATAATGTTGAGACTTATCGTGCTTAATAACATAGGTGAACCTATGAACAAGTGGGTTTATGAGCTTGACCCACCATACTGCTCCACGGTTGGTGTGGGCTTGAACGACTGTAGTCTCTTAATTATTACTTACAGGGACCAACTGTCTGAATTCTCTCCAAGGCATTGTCTTGTCTTTCGGCATTTAGACAATTGAAGTAGAGATTACAGGACATTAATACACACTTGTATCAATTTATATATGATAGTAAATGTGAAAAAAAGAAATATGCTCCTCTCAGGCCTCTGTAGCTAAATGAAGCACTGCGGTAAGCGCCAGAAGGCCTGGGTTCGAATCCCGGGGAGACAACAATACTGTTCAATGATGGTAGTGGATTAAGTCACAGGCAACGGACACAAAACATGTGTTCGCTCCACGCACAAACAGGATTTCACTTTTTTTATAATTACTTTAAATTGTTTCAGTACCATACAGATGGATCACTTCTTTCATTGTATCTATTTTATGTCTTCGTAATGTATGTATGATTTTTCAGTATGCAGAAGCAAAACAAGCCCAACTGGAAACTAATCTATTCGAAGTTGAGTCTGCTGTGAAAACTCTAGATACGACAGAAGGACAAAAAATGATTCTAGACTTTCTCCAGAAATGTAAGCAGTTACAAGAAACTGCGACCTCCGACCAAATCATAATGTCGGAAATTAGGAAGATGAAAGACAATTTGTTGAAATGTAAGAACAAATATGTGGAATCACTACTGGCCGCCTGAATGTAATAAAAATAAAGATGTTTGTTAACCCTTCAGTTAATTTATTTTAAAAAATGATTTTTCTTTAAGAGGTAAGAAAAATTCTCCTCGTCCATACAGGAAACAAATGTTCTTCGCTTTTCACTTGAATTCACTCCATAGAAAAACTAAAATACTGTCTAACATTTACGCGAGTATTACGCGCATTTCAACAAAACACTTTAACGGTTTAAAACGCGATATATTTTTGTTAAACTTATTTGAAATTATTAATTAGTTAAAACTACGTCTCCCCGTGACCACGGCTGCCGCAAAGCATCCGAAACGTCGGGCCGTATACGCTCCTAATTGATTTATTCATAACCATCACTTTTTTATTTCTTCTTTTATCAATAGGTACATATATGAAACGAGTGACAGCAATATCGAGCTGGTTTGGTTAAATTCTAAACTGAAATTATGGCAATGTAATATGTAAAAAAAATGCGCCGTCGACTTATTTTGGCTTTAGATATTGGAATTCTACCCCCACTGAGTTACTTTAACACTTTCAGCATTCATACATTTATAGATACACATTTTTATAAGCATACATAATAATTTAATAATCATTATTCATCAAATAGGTTTTTGCATTTGCGATTAGCTCTGGCTTGGCGTGTCAGAAATGGACATTGGGGTGCCCAAAGTTGGTGATCCTTCTCCGGATCGTGGCCTTCGACCCATCTCATTATTTCCACCTTACAAAATGCGCAGCGTACTTTATCGCTGCTACCGAGGTAGTAGAATCCATTTCTTGCGAGGAGTTCGGGCGACAGGAAGGTGACGGGCCACTTATCGAACGTTTTGAGTCGCTCTTCTTCGCGGTGCATGTCCGCTGTGAAATCCATTTCTTGCCAGGTCTTCTGACGAAAGGAAGGTAACGGGCCACTTATTGAAGGTCTTCAGTCGCTCTTATTCTTCTTCTAAGTGCATATCGGCTTCGTTCTGATGACTCGCCATAAGAAAACCTAGTCAGACGTAGGTATATTGCGATAGACATTTCTCAAGAAATAAATTTTTCGAATACTATAACTTAGAGTTTCTCTTGTGGACGGTGATTGGTTTATCTTAAAGGTAACGACTTACCTAAATATTATCAGGTGTATACTAGAGCAGTTTATATAATAGTGTATATTTAATAGTTTATTGGGTTAGTTATTATAACTTGAACGGACTAATTCAAGTCAGTAACAAAACAGGAAGGTAGAAAGTTTGCGGTTAATAAATTCTTGTGGAAATATCTTCTACCCACAATTGTAGCTTTTTTTATTTATATAAATTAAAAGTTCTTTAGTGATTCTAGTGAATTTTGAGTCTTTAATATTATTTAGTAACTTTTTCCAGAGTATTGACAGGTTTTGTCAAAACAACCCTCACTTATGAAACAGTAACAAGAGGTAGGGGAATAAAACATCAAATCATTTAACATTTCGTTTATTAATAACATCAACAGGGTGAAATAATAATTACCTATTACAAAAACAAATTGAATCTGACTTTTATAAATTCTCTCATTAATAATAATTACTTTCAGTGATATAGTTATCCTACATTGCATGTCTAAAACTAAAAATCAGTATGGAATTCCTAGTAAAGTGGGTGAAAGTTACGTATGATATGGCTTGTTACATTATATTTATTGTTAAAAAGGTGTTATTATTCCATTACTTGTCGACAGTGGGAATTAAATGCAAAATAACTCATTTTAAAGTACTTGTAGATGCAGTCCAGTGACGAGAAAATAAGTTATCCGTTTCAACATTGTTTCAGTGGCCGTGCTAAGGATTTGCCCGCTTATCATTATGTCTACCTAATATTCTCAATTTGTAAGTTATTGTCAAATCAATATTATATTCAATGTCATCGATCGTACAATTACGGAAATAAGACGTAATTTCTTAGTTAAAATTATTTCAGTTCTGAACTTGGAATCCTCATTATCATTCTCATTATAAATTAATAGTGTATCAAAATTATACTTAGTTCAACGTTTCAATACAATCAACAATGCCTATATGGAGAGAAAAGAAATATAAATGAAAGTAAACATGGACACAGTATTTTGGTAATCGACATACCATCACAAGAAATGTTACTCTTGAATGACATAATAAAGTATAAATAGTTGTTATGTAAGCTGCGTTATAGGATTCTTAACTGCAATCAAAATTATGTCCTGTTTTGTGAAGAGAAACAAACATTGTTCATTGCATTGAAATCGAAACTAAATAGCTTTCTCCATTACGGTGGGACAAAATGATAAGCTATAAACTATTTACAATAGATTATTTACATACGACATTATAATTTTTTAAACAATAAATAATTTAAAAGCATTTCAACATCTACATTTAACACCTTCATCGCGTCACGCTCGAAGTCATCTCGGTTCTAAAGGAGTTGCCCCACCGCTTTCAATTAAAAAATATAATTAAATGTTAAAATCACAGTTAAGCGGTCGTTCAGAGCGTGGTTTCAGCACGCATAGGGCCCGCGGAGTACTGACTAGCATCGAGTCCACCTGGACGTCGGCTCACGAAAAGTAAAGGCGCACTGCGTCAGTGAACGTCCTTCGGCACATTGGGCACTTGTCAGTGGACAGAGCGCATTTGGCACAGGCCACCACGTGGCCGCAGGGCACGAAACACACGTTCCGCTCTTCCGCGTAACAAATTTTACATAGCATTGTGTCTTCTACGGGGTTCTCCTCCTTTTCCGTGCCGTTGCTGTTCGTCTCAACGTTCACCGCTTCCTCTTTGGGCTCCGCCGCGGCTGTGGCGTCCGCTAGCACTTTCTGGACGTACTCGCGGCCCTTGACCAGCTGGACGTAAGCGCATCTGTCGAACCAGCGAGCGTGTTGTTCCCAGGGTTCGTCATCATTTTCCCAGTCTTTCAAGCCGCCGTCGCAATAGAAGCACTTAGTCTTGTCCCCCTGGCCGGTGTAGAAGAAACCCGCCTCCGCAAGCGCCTCTGGCTTTTGACGCATACTTCTCGGCCAATCGACAAAAGTGCGAAGACGAGCCGCTTCGGAGGCGTACCGCGGGTGCACCGGGCCCGGCATCCGCACGGGCGTAGCCGTGACCGGCGCTCTCGTGCCGCACTCGTCGCGGCCGTCGTTCACCGGCCCATCTAGAGGAACATTACCGGCTCCGACTTGGCGTCGAAGGAAAGGACATTGGGGTGCCCACCGCCGGTGGTCTTTCGCGGGATCGTCGCCCTCAACCCATCTCATTATTTCTACCTTGCAAAACGCGCAGCGTACTTCGTCGCCGCGGCCGAGGTAGTAGAATCCATTTCTTGCGAGGAGTTCGGGCGACAGGAAGGTGACGGGCCACTTATCGAACGTTTTGAGTCGCTCTTCTTCGCGGTGCATATCCGCTGCATCCGGATAGAAGTTTAATGAATCACGATTGTCAGTTTTATCAATGGACGAGGTGGGCGAAACTGCCGTCGGCGACGTCGACGTGGAACTGGGGTTTGACTCGCATCCTGCGGCGGGCAATACCAATTGTTCCACGAGTGATCTTCTCTTGAACAGTTGGGTCACCATTTGGGTAGTTAATGGTGACGCTGTATTGGCGGCCACTGGAAAGAAGAGAAAATACAATGAGCATCGACTGAATTCAGTGGCATTATATAGTAATTTAATGAACAACATATTCTTCTAGCAGGCTATAATTGGTTTCAAGTTGCTGGTGTTAATTTAATATTTACTCTGTAGGGATAGACATGCTCCTAGCTACGTCAAACGCGGCGACATATGATCCTATTAGAATGCCTAGAAAAAGCGAGTGTTGTACTCTCAAAGCCGTCTCTTTCGCAAAAATGCAGAATGCACTTCTCATATTACCCAGAGCGATAGACTAAGTAAGAGCAAGTGTTCAAGTACAGTTTCACATAACAACAAGTTATAAGTTCGCGGCGGCCCGGCTGGCTTCGTCATCGACATTCCATTCCCAGTCCCCGTCCTCCCCCCCACATCGTACCGCAGACCTTCCCGTCTCGCGCTCAGTGCGCATGCACTCGGTTCGTACAATCAATTTTTTATCTCAAATATTAAAGGCCTATGCGGACAAAAGCCCCGTATGATAACACAAAGGATTTTTTTCTGTAGGCTCGTCAAGGTAACTAATTCAGAGTGGTATTTTTAATTGTGTTGTTACATTCTAAAACAACACAAGATTCGTTGATAGATTCCCTTATAAGGTCTAAATAACAGATCATATTTTGGATTCCCTGACAAAATAAAGCCGTATATGTAAATATACGGCTATACATAGTATCGCGCCATATATTTATGCTTTAGTCTGAGGGTCGATGATATCAACATCAAAGTAATGGCCGCTAACGTAAACCGATCGATATATTTACCATTTCTGTGAGCGTTATCCACTAGGATGGGCATATTGAAGAATTTTGGGGCTAAAAACACAAATTTCACGTAACACTCAAATCACACATTTCCAAAGAAAGCACTAGAGCAATTAGAGTATTTAGGCTGTCGCAATTGTCTAATGGCGGACGAGCGACCGCGGGCATCGTTCGTGGAGTGTTAGTTCTGCATTGGTTATCGTAGCATTGACTTCCCCTCTACGCATGCGTGAATACAATACGGAGGGTTCTACGTGGGGTGTCGTGTACAGTTACAGCTGTGTGGGGTCTCCCTGTGTTACACTTTCATAGCCACTTCGAAATTTATGCGACCATTCCCAGTATACGCGTGATCAACTAAGTAGCTTTCAACTTCTTCCTGGAAATCTGACTTTGAAGCTATACATCTATAAAATTAATATATTTCATTCTGAAATCGAGACTATAAACAAGATTTAAAAGACAAAATAAGCCGATAAGTTACAATAGAAACATGCCTAGCGTTAGTATTATTTTTATAAATAAAATGAACTCGTGCGCAGTATGACCACCGCGGAATGGGGCACGTTTATAACCATTCTAATTCATCTGTGCGCTAGTCTACGGCAAACAAGTGAAGTACGAAGTACGGGCGAAGGGCCGACGCGGGAGATGTAGTTCTCAATCAACCGAGCGTCTGGAGCGGCGTTGCCACGCCGTCCCCCGCCGACCGGATTTCATTCATATTTGAGTCGCGGCGTTGCCGTCGTCAGCGGAAACCGCGACCACACAGCGTAAAAAACGGCCTTTGGAATGCGACGGCTTTGCTGGGCGGGTCTATGCGGCACCGAATAAAAAGTGATGCTACGGAATGCGGACGGTACTTAGGTCGTAGGCTGCAATGCGTTTTAGAGGAACATAGGTACCTACTTAACAATATAAATGTTTTTGACAATTTGGGAATGTAGCTAAGCCCTGAATTATGTGCATGTGTGCACTCACTTATTTCGGACAATAGAGATAAAATACTTTGAGAAACAAAACAAAGTAACCATGTTCCAAGGCCTATAGCGTATGCCGCAAATGAAATTCAGCATTGTGCCTTTAAGAGAACGGCAAGAGGCGGCGCCGTTGCGTCCATGGGGAGGGGGACGGGGCGGTGTTTTCTTGCCTATGGGTGGTCGACGCTCGGCTTTCGAATTCCAGTGCTTAGCCTGTAGCGCCTACGCAGGAGGTACAACACTGTTACATAAATACCATACACACTACCAAGAACCAATGAGCAACGGTCCATTAAAATAAAACTACCCTCTTTCCTCATTAGATGTTTCTAAATTCAAATTTTTGACTACAGTTTAAGTTTGAACTATTTGAGAAAACAATTTCCTGTAAAACGTTTGGTGCCAATTTTAAATGACAATTCGTTTGTTATCTATGGTCAAGGGTCGTTGTATATGCACAAAATGATTTTTACAAACTACGACTCCTTCGGGCTTTGTCTTCTGATGACCATATTGCCCATGGGAAATTAATATTCGAGCTTGAATGAGATCCTAATGAATAGGATATGAATGGGAACAGTCAATGTCGGGCGGGCTCCTATACAAACAATGTTTGTCATCATAAAAGCTTTAAAAATAAACGGAACGATTGAAGCCCGGAAACGCCAGGGATATGAACATCCGCCAGATGGGAAATGTTGATAACACTGCCCATAACGTGAATGGGTATAGCTTAGCTTAGCCGGCAAAATGGGTAACCAATTCTAAACTTTAATATAATATGTAGTTATGAAATTTGAAACTAGAATTTGGGGATTATTTTTATATCAATCGAAATAGGTCAATCTCGCTACATTTGGTTGGGGCTTTAAAAGAAATAGATAATTAGTGGGAAAAGCCGTGTGTCCGATCTAGCAATAAGATGAGAGCGCTAATATAAAGAGCCGCTAGCGCCGCCAACGACAAGGCGGGCCATATAATGGTACTCCCACGAGTTTAGCCGCCGGCCGACTGCATTCCACGATCGTTTTCCTAGGCTCGTTCCCACACAATCTACAAATACATTGTCTCGAGTACAGCTATACTATACATCTATATAGAAACGAAGCATCATACTAAGTCGATAAAATATAACGATTTAATATAATATTTTATAAATACCAAGTAACAACACACTGATGTGTTATTGTCGAAACTATCCTCATCATATTTAATTGGTGTGATTAATGGAAATACATATTATATACTGATAAACTAATTAACTATTTACTTATACAGTAACTCCCATTGTGATAGATAGATGGCGCCAGCTGTACTGTTTGTTTTCAAATGCCCTAACCATTGCTTTCTTTTATTTAAAGCAGGAGTAAATTAAGTGGAAAAATTGCTCTTTAATAAATAATAAGTAAACAATATAATCTTCTAAATATATATCAGGACAGATATATAGACAGGACAGAGAAAGGACACAAAAGAAAAGTTACAATGGACGGCTGTTGAAAGTTGGTCAGTTCTTCTTAATTCTTTCTATACCTACAAAACCTAGTAACCAGTCTTTCTCAGTAAGGATTTAGCAAGTGGTATGGTGATGTCATCACAATCAAATTTACTATGAGGCCCATTCGGGTATGCTGTAACATACAAGGCCGGTTGATGCCTAAAGCAACAATGTTGAAGGTAAGTTGTATGCTGTGAATACAGCTTTAAAACTATCACATTTAAACATTATTAAATGTGTTTTGAGTTGTTGGTTTCAAAATAAGTAGAAATGATAACTTATCACTATCAATAACTGATAAATGACTTCTTACAATGGAATAAAAGGCTTATTGAAACAATCACCAATACTGGGAAATGTTTTCAAAGAAAGCATTGTGAAATGAGTAATTTTATAAACAGAATACCAACATTCATGCCAAAGCAGTAGATAACAAGGCAATATTATATAGTGGTATGATTTGCTGATTACCTAAAAGGCACAGTAAGTTTCCATTTAAATAATCTTTATAAGGCGTCACTAATTAGTAAATAAAAAGTTTTACTCAGTTTAATTATAGATGGCGCTACCAGTATATGTATGTACAATATTGTAAATAATGTAGGAAACAATAGTATTTGTTCTCTTGACAACTGGCACTGTTTGATATAAACAGTGAGATATATTTTTATCTTATTCAACATTATCAAACCACCATAGTGAATAAGAATTATACCTGTTTTAAAAATAGGGCCAAAGAAAAATACCGTTAATAAATTGAAAATGTTCCTTTTAATTGCTAAAGAACGGCATTGAATATACCAAACGCCATCCGACGACTTTCACAAGTCAAACAGCTGTTATTGATCCATGCTCTAATAGTGTGACTTTGACAGACTACCTAAGCTAAATGTTTTAAAAGCATCACCTACAATTCTTTACTAACATTTTCTATTTTAAAATGATGTACACTCATGGTGTATTATTGCAGGTTAGTGTACAGTTAAGCAGAAAAATTACCACGTAACAAGTTACTGATACAGTCACGAAATATAATGAAACTATACATTTTACAATCAATTACTTCCTTATAAACCGATCACAACAGAACAGTTGGCTATATGACGTTGCTCTCGTTCCGAATCACAAACATATTGATGCGAATAGGTTATGTAAGGAAAAGTATTCACCTCTCAAAGAATCCATTTGTAATCCGAGTAAATCCAGTAAGTATTTAAAACACATCAACACTAACGGAATCCTAAATAGTTATGTCCTCACACACTTAAATTACTAATAAACTGATAAACAACCACATCGATTCTTGATCCACGAGCGCGAAAATCGCAACTGCTGAGTTTGACGTCGATGTAGTCGAGCGGGCGGCGCTCGGTACACTCCGATAAAATGTGCGACTGCGTCACTCGCTGACGTTACACCTCCCTACTCCCCTACCCCGGCATCGAGTAATTGAACGATTCGATTATTCTTATAATCGCTCGTTGGAGCTACATTTTGTATAATATTGTACACTTCCCTATTTTTTTATCTGCACATAATATTAGCTATCTTTGTGATGATGTGTTGAAATATATTTGGAAAAAAAGTTTTGTAGACGCAATAAAAACTATAGTATCGATCCTCCCTGTTTTTGTGTTTCACACAATTTTGGTGAATACAGAATTCGTATTTGTTAACTTGTTAGCGTATCGCGTAAAAAACGTAACCTTTTTAAATGAAATTTTGTATAGAGTTTTATCAGCGACTAGGTATTTATCAATTTTACGATTTTATCTAAATCTCGTGTTAGGTGCTGAGTGCGTACTCGTAATGCAGGCAATATTTTTAATGTCTGGAAAATAAAGTAGAAATGTGATTTTTGAATAAGTAGGTAATAGTCCTATTTTATCCGGAGATAAAAAAGTGCATTATTAATGGTGGTTGAAATACCAAATAGTAATTTGAAAACATTGCCCCAGAGACAGATATGAGGGTACACGCGTGGCTAATTTATTATTAGGTTAAAAGATAACGTTATTGTTTTGTGAAGTCACAATAAATGTTGTAGACCTGTAGTAAAAAGATTGCTGATGTTAAAGCTATGGCAATTATTTGAATTATGAAGATTAAATTCAGTCGTTTATCATGTACAGTTTGTGAAATTGTTACCAATTAATAAATATTAAAAATTCTACTCACTTGATGATGTTCCTGCAACAGCGTTGTCCCCATTTTCTTCTGAAGATTCCGTATCTATAACTTCCATACGTCTGAAAAGATTATTTATCAATCAAATCTAAATAAAATTTGAAATAACATCTGTTATTTTTTTGCGCGCCATATTATTTACAGCTCATATGCTATGTGCAGCCAGTACCCAAAATTTAAAAAGAGGATACTAGAACAGGCAGATTATAAAAAAATAAAAGTGTCCAGCCACAGAATGCACAAACTATTATTAATATTCACAATTCACCTGTGTTGTACAGTACCTAATCAGACGAAACCACGAACACTGTTGTCGCTTGGACGCGAATAGTATACTGAGATACGCCGATAAACTGTTACGTAAAATGTATTAGTACTTATCGTATTGTTTACACAATATCCATACCAGTCGCTTTAATCATCTGATCCATTGAAAACTGTACATCTATTAAAAATGAATTAAACATACGTCCATAATATTATAGCGACTCATGCGTTCTGAGATGTCCAAACTGTTGCGTCGTAGCAAACTGCTACATCAATTGTAATTAAATTCCCTACCATTGTTACCTATTGCTATGACACATGAGAATCATCTATCATCTCACGTCCTGTGAAAATTGCATAATTGTATGCAATTTTCATGGAAAAACCTTCATGGGTTTGCGCAATGTAATATCTAGTACTTCATACTTCTTATGCTACTCGCGATAATATAATTATTCATATGGAAAATAGTCTTCCAAATGTAATAATAATGTCTAGTACTAATATGCTAGATACAAAGAGGGCAGAGATACTAATAAGAGCAGATGTTGCGTTGTCTCTGGTATAAACTGATGTGGTAAAAAATATTTTGTAAGGTAAAGTTTGGCGCGCAACAAACGCAGGTGCGAACGCAGCTTGCCCATGCGCGGGCGTCAGCTGCCATTCCACGTGCTCTAACAGCTGTCCCAATCATCCCTCATCCAAATATGGACAATGAAACGCAACACAAAGACCCAAATTCAACCGGAAATAAGTAATCACATACCTAAGCTGTACACGCGTGCCATAAGAAAAGGCATATTGAAAATAAGCTAACGTCGGCGCGTACGCAGATGAAGCAAACTGACTAGCATTGGTACTAACAGAATTCACATAGACGTTTTACTTACATTTTTCTAGACACACGGGTGTAGATACTATATGTATATTGAATAATGAAAATCCTTTGATTTAATAATGCAATTTATATTACCTAGCTTCCAATGTAGGTGGTTGATACGTCGTGATCTAACTATAATTCTGAGCCCACTGCAGCGTAGGTTGGACGGCCGGAAAATCGATTTACCTATTCCACTGTGAAACACATTTTCATTTCCTTAACTGGTGGTTTTAAAAAGTACCAAGTCAGCCATTTCATTCGACGCTGACATTTTTGAAGCTGTTTTCCTCCATGAGCCATGATTTTGACAAACACTACATGTTTTGTTTTACCAATGTAGTCATTTTAAGAAGGTATAAATGGCACAGACACTGCGATCTTAAACAGGTCCGTAGGCATACTTATACAATATTTTAAAGCTGGAGAATTTGTTAGTTACGGGTCCCAATAGAAAATCTTTTTGTATTGGTTAGTGCAAGAAGACAATATAGAATAGGCAATACTACGAATAATAGGTAGATATAATCGAAAAAATGGAAAAAAGAACGGGTAAAATTGTTCATCTTTGTCCGTCGTCTGTCCGACCGTTTCCGCTGCGTGCACTGCGAAAACGTTTCAAGATGGTAAAAATATGTATAAAAGAATGAATCCCCTTAAAATTATAATATGATTCTACTTGAATTAAAGATTAATTGAAAAAAAACGCAAGCGGGCGATATCATAACAGCTACAATTTATATAGATGAGGAGGTTTACAAAACCAATGTTGACGCCCGTGTATCATCAGTTTCACACTGTATTTAACAAGTTTATGAAAAACTTAACACGAGTCCTCATTTTCATGTCATTCTTTAAATTTAATTCGCTTCCAAATCTTTAACTCCTATGTTTATTATTCTTATGAATAAACTATGTAGTCGGGCTTGTTAGAGTCGCTTAGTTTACGTCATGAAACAATCATTTAGAGAGATGCGGACAAATGTTATATTATCCTAACTTATGACGTAATAGCTTTAGTTGCGTCTACGATGTGTTGCCCTGTAAAATATTTAAGGATAAATGATACATCCATTAACAAACATGCCGTTCGACGAATTTTACAGTATTGGGGGTACTCGTTACTCAGTAACGAATACGTACAATTGTTTATTTTTGCTTAGCTACGGTAACGAATTTTATGTAATCGCTACCCTAACTCAGGAAAAAATAATTATTAAAAATATATAGTACATATATACAACGAAGCTTACGCAAAATGCGAGGTAATCAAAATTGATTTAAATAACTAGTACTACGTAAATGGTGTGTACTGTGTGGGTTGTTAAATGCTTGTTTACCCAAGAATTGCGTCTTAGCTGCATTTGACTATATAAACACGACGTTTTGTAATTTGTTCGGCTGATGGATCTGTTATTTTTGTCGTCTTTAAGCGTCGGGTTAGCCAATAGGGACTCTTGGCGCGGTATGCAGCCTCCTTTTCCCAGAAGTCAGAAATCCATGTAAGGACGGCTTTGGTTCAACTTAAGTACATAAACGTGCTTCACTGCCTCCTCGGTAATACTTACGATATGTTCCAGGTGAAATTAACGTATTACTTATGTTTTGTATACTTATACAATAAAAAAAATCTCTATTAAAAGTATTTGAAGAGTTAAATCTATGTTTAGTTTTAAATGTTTTTAATCTAAATATGTTGTATTTAGCTTTATGAACATTTAACAATAAATAAATAAAAATGTGTTATACGTACTTTCAGATTAAAATTCTACTTGAGATGAGAGATTCAGTAAGCTAGGCTAAACATGTATGCTATTGAGATATTTTTAATAGTTATATGCATAAACCGTGTTCAATAATGATTCAGACGATAAATACCATAATATTTAGATTTGTCATAAAATGCGGGTAGATAATGTAAAAAGCGTCATCAACTTGTAAGTAATAAAGTTTCTCTCCGAGTTGACAATACTCATTATTGAATCTTTAAATCATTACTGCTTCAACAATGCACCATTGCAATACGAGCCATTTTTTCCTATCAAAATCCGTTACATTCCATTCCCTGAAGCCGTGAGTTGGGCTCGAAGCCATCTTGGCGAGATTTCGAAATTCCGAGAAAGGCAGAGCCTTATAAATTATCTCAAAAGCGCCGACGCGGCCCTACAGCCAGAATGTTTTTTTTACTCCACAGGTAGGCTGGCGCTAAGAACGCCAAGGAATTTATAGTGCGATCTATTCGTCTTGAAACTAGATATTAATATGACTAAACAAGCCGTTCGACATATTTTAACTTTAAATAAAAGTAATTTGTACCAATTGTTTCGGAAATTCTTGAAGGCAAAATATTTTTCATAGCAAATATTTCGAAGCAAAATATTCAAATATTGTTTTTTTAAATTGTACCAAGTTTTAGTGAAAGGCCGCTGAGCGCTATTAGTCTATATAAATTTGAGATTCATCAAATATCATAACTACACGGTCAAACTATATTAAGTAAAAAATACGCTTGGTGCTCGCGTGCATCACGATTCTTAGAAAATAGGACTCTTGAAACAAGCGAAGGCATTCCGGGACGCCAGCATCCCTGAAGGTCGTCTCCACTTCAGCCGCTGCACTAATAATAATTATGCCCAGATGGAAGAGGTTTGTACTCTGTTACTTGTTCTAATGAGCCTCCACCGTGCAATACGTTTCGGTTTTTGGTGGCCGGTATTCGATGTTACAGCTTTTGTCATAGTTAAATACAACACTTTAACGGTTTAAAACGCGATATATTAGTTAAACTTATTTAAAAATGATTTTTAACTTCGGCCCAACGTTTCGGATGCTTTGCAGCAGCCGTGATATCGCGTTTTAAACCGTCAAAGTGTTTTATTTAAATGTGTACTACTCGCGTAAACTATAGACAGTATTTTGTCATAGTGTTAAATCAATAAAGAGTTTCAAATGTTCCAGCAAATAACATTCAGTCATTTTTGATTCAAAGATTATAAATTCACGTAATACAGTTACTAAGAAGAATAACTAGTGCACGCCAGTTTGTATTCATTATAAGGAATTCATTGAATACAGAACCAATTTAACTATCCCTACCATAAAGTTTGCTAGACACTGCTTGCTCGGATAGGCGAGCCACGAAACAACGGGGCTTTCAATCCATTGAATCACGCCAAAGTAGCGCTTAAGGCCAACGGGTATTAGATGGAATTTCATTGAAGGTTGTTCAGCGGATGGTGTTCTCTGGAATTTGGGGCAAGACGCTGACTCAACGATCTAAACCCTTCTCCAAGCAATCTCAACAGACTATAAGCGCTAAATATATTTTCCCAACTCGCTCGTGGTCAAACTTTATGATGTCTGCTCAAGCTTAGGCTAGTGACTACCCGCATTTGGCGCTTTTTTGTATATAGACGGGTAGGTATAAACTAAACCACAGACCTCAAACGATAACATTATATGTTTGAAAGACTATTATAAGAAAGGCAGAGTACGTTTACTCGGAAATTTCTTCCCCATTATAACACTAAGGTACCTACATTTAGAACAAAATCTATCAAATTAATATGAAAATCATATAAGACATTTTAATACCTTACGACTATAAGCACAGAGCTAAAACTTACGACAATATCCTTTTTTTGCACTACATGGATTTTTTTATCATGTACCGTTTTCGAAGTGCACTAACCACCACAAAGATATTTTTTCAACTCGAACCAGTAATAATCTAAGGAAGATTAGCGCGTTTAAAAAACACTTCACCTTTATAATATTAGTATAGATTTAATTTTAACGCAGTGGTAACTAGCAACCACGACAACACCTTGATAAAACCGCTTGAAAGTTGAAACATAAGTAGATAGGCCGTATGGCGATGCTAAATCGTGACCTACAGCATATGGTGTGGAAAGATGGTCTGGCATAAAAGAAAAAAATACTAAAATAACTGGTTCAGATTCAAAATAGCCTAGCAACACGAGTTTTCGTTACTTAAGAACTATCCAGAATAACGACCTACATTATATCTGGTACTATTAAATTTCGCGCATCAAGTTTTATTTAAATTTAGGATATTTTTAAAGTAAATAAAAAAGCTCTAATATCTATATCATTTTACATACGGGCATATATGGGACAAAAACTTTAGATAATTACAATACAATTCCTATACTTAATATCTGACAAGTTCACTTTTCTTTGATTAATTTATTAACAATGAGTTCCCACGGTACTGATTATTTTAAATTGTTAGTAATCAGAATAAACGTAGACATCAGGACACCACAAGATGTAATCTTCAAGTTTTTCTATAGCAATAATGGTTAGTCAGTACCCGACAGAAATAATTGTTTAATTATTTTATATTATTGATGTATTCGTAGTATAAAACTTTTTGTTTATTTTGTTATATCTGTGATTGCATTGTATCTGTTCTTATTAGTAAAAGCGTTAGCAGTAGGTCAAATATATATTAAGAATTACTTTTATGAGGCCATAAGACGTATTGTTTGTATAAGACGTAATTATCTTACGCTACGCAGTTTGTATGAGAACCCACGACGCCACCAAATCCGAGGTCGAGGGCCGCCACTGCCAAATTTAAGTGGTGACGTCACACAAATTATTAAACTAAACAAATTCCAAAGAGCGTTATTCATCGCTACTTTAGTTTGATCCTGTTGCAACAATTCTGTTATGAAGAACGCAATGTATTTTTTGCGTAGCAATATAAAGCGATGTACATACAATTAGACTGTAACAAATCGCTGACAAAAAAGACCACGTAACACAAATTAGGATTTAGACAGCGACGAGTCACAGGTCAATGTCTCTGTAGATGTAAGACAAAGAACCGATTAAGTACGATTTTATTTTATTTATTATAATTTAAAAAAATATTAAAGGGATTTAAAAATATAACAGTAGAGATAACCATGACTTGTTCTAGTTTTCTTTATTCCAACATTTCTTTTAATACTTGTCGATTTATTAGATTTTCGTGACTTTCATGTCAATTATACATCGCGATTTAATTAAATATACTAACAGTTAATATAACAAAGTAATTTATAATAACAGTTGAAAATCATATAGTTTTAGACAAATACAAAATTCACCAAAAATGTGTACTTGGTTTAGGGTGTGTTCACTAGGATTCCCTGTGTCGAGGGAGATAGTGTAGTTTAAATTTTGGTAAAAAAAGAACGTTTGTGCATTTATCATAAAATTTTACATGTTAAAACTAGGCGTATGTTGTAAGTACTACATACAATATGCATTTTAGTATATATTGTGTGAATTGGTTATAACTTATATCAGCGCTTAAAGCTCATTCGCAAGTTCGCAAACATCAAAACTACATTTCCCCACTAATGAAAATGTCAGTATCGCAGACAGGCGTAGGTTGAAGCGCTCAAGATTAACTGCAGCGTGAGGGCCGGAGTCTCATTGCTTGCGCAGGAGTTGCACAATGGACATTGTGTTCCCCGCCTTCACAGAACTAAAGCCTTCACACTGGTCTTATTATACACGTGACCATTGTTTCGCGAAGATGCACGTTGTATGTTAGTACTATAGCAAACATATGTACTAAGGTGTATTGACTACTCGACGACAAAAACATTGACTAAGTAGTCGGAATTTTTCTATATCTGTATAGCTTAAAAATCGATTTTAGATTGAACAATGTTTAAACCTCCATCAACAGCGTTAAGTACTGTTGCTCTAACCAATCGAGCTACACACTACGTCATCGTTCATTTTTTTTAAACATACACCTCTTGCGTATTGTAATTTCAACCTTAACAATTGAGTATTAAGATGCAATGTCTTATGCTTTGCTATAAAAATGTTCAATCTAAAATTGATTTTTAATATATATAGTGTCGTCAGGTGCGCTAACATGCGAAAAATATTAAAGTTTTTATATATCGGTATTGCTTTGAGAATTATATCTATTATGATTGTGTGTTCAGCAGTTAGTTTCCAAAAAGAAAAATTTCATACTCTTCGTGTGACTGTAGCCGATTTATCTACCAACAAGTTGTATTTTCAACAGTTTTCTGACGATAGTTGTCAGTTAAACTGTAGCTTCGGCCCGACGTTTCGGATGCTTTGCAGGCCGCTAGAGTCAAAGTGCTAGAGCATTAGTGCATACTAAGTACAAATAATACAGACTTATTTAGTATTTTTATAGTATAAAAATGTTATAGTCTAAAAATTAGGCCTCTAGAGCCGAAGTGGGGTTAAGGGAAAAAAAATGACTTCACTTATTTATATTTTTTAGTCAAAGCACCGTGATCGAAAATTGTTAACATAATTCTTACAAGTTATAACACATACACAGTTATATAGCTTTTTTTTTCTCGCTATTAAAAATTATGTTGTGTTATTAGGCCACTCTGGCTCTAGTAGCCTCATTTCTAGTCCTACTTATCTAATGTCTAATTGATATTTAACTACGATACAACTAATGCAGCTTGACTCGAGATAAATTTCGAGAATCAATTTAATTGCTGGTTTTCCCATAGCCACATTTTAACTTAAGAATTATCTGAATCTTGCCTTGTTGCCGAATTTGCCTTGTAACGGTGACGCGTCAACTTCTTGGTATGGATGGTTAGCCTTGAAGGAACCTACTTGGACGGTGGAGCAAGCATATCACCACTTGATAAACCAGAATCGTTTTTGAACAAGTAAAAATGAGCCATCGTGTTCTCGCCACACTTCCCGTTAGAATAATATGTCATATAGGCGGTTGGAGCTATCGACATTAGGGATAGGATGAAAAATAGAAAAATGTATACGAAATTGCCACGAACATTTTGTATGCTATTCAAGTTGAAGGCCATTTTTGTGTTTATAGACAGAAATCGCGTTGGTTGTTTTAGATGTCAATAGATAATTTGTATCTTCTCAGAGTGCGTACATTTTTACTTACAATGTACAATTTAATTTAAATTGTATCATTGTAACATTGTTGATTTTAAATAATATATACTCACGAGCACATATTTATGTAAAATCTTATATAGCAAAAATTACATACAAAGTTTGGCAGGTCGAACTACAAAACCATCACATATTTAATTGTCCTACTTTGCAAAGATGTAATGTAAAAGGAGTAATTAAAGTTTATTAAATAGTTTAGCTTACGCGAGAGTACTCAAAAAAAACACATTAACGGTTTAAAACGTATTTGCGACTTCAACGTATTTGAAAATGATTTTAACCGCGGGCCCCCGCGGGGGGGGGGGGGGGGGGGGGCGGGGGGGGGGGGGGGGAAAAAAAAAAAAAAAAAAAAAAAACGGGTTTTCACCCCCAAAAGGGTTTTTTTTTAAAAAAATTTTTTTTTTAAAAAAAATCACATGATATGTTGGCGTTTCTGCGACTTCGACGTCTAACCTTCTAACCGAACTACTCCATTCAAGAACATCGAGTTTTAAAAACTAAAGTTAACCATAAAATTTCATCTTAATAACTTGAAAAGAAAAAAAAGTAAGTAGGTGAGTACTGTCTGTAGTTTAAACGAGTTGTACACATTTAATTAATAACACTAACGGTTTAAAACGAATATATATCTTAATGCTTTTTGAAACTACGGAACTATTTCAGATGTTTGCACACCATGTTGAGGAGAGTTTCGTACCGTGACTACTCTAACTACGGAGTCACGTGTCATATGCTTTGCAGAAGTGTTGGGGAGTCCCCCTGTGGTCTACTAGAGACGTCAGGTACTATTTCTGTATGTTTTTAATAGTACACCGTTAAAAAGTAACTAATGAATTATAGATAATGCAATAGAATATTATCCTAATAAAATAAGTCTACAATCTACGCATTAGTTCCCTAAAAGGCTTTCGTTGCTATCATCAGAGGGAACCTAGTCTACGTTCGATAAACGGTATCGCATTACACAGCTTTCGCAAGCCTTCGTGAAACTCGGCTTGGCGGATAGAAAGCGTCGCGACCTCACTTTCACTTCACTCGGCAATAGACCTCACCTCTGTAATGACTAACATATACACCTATCATATGCTTAAGCAACTAGTCAATCAAAATACAACGAACAAGAGTAAGATTTTTATTGGTAAACAAAACTATCACCTATATTAGAGAGTATAGTAAATTATATAGAATGTGTAGCTAAGTCATCAAATTTGACTAAGATCTCTAATCTGTGAAACTAGCTAAATTTATTACAAAACTACTAACAATATAAGTTTAAAAATTGCTATATAATATTTGAAGTTAAAATAACGTTCTTCTTTTTAATAGTTCACACATAAACTAATGGTATTGTCGATTATGAAAATTTTTAACGGTTTAAAACGCGATTATTAACCTTATTTAAAAATTATTTTAACAACGTTTCGGATGCTTTACAACGGCAGATCTTTAAGCGTTAAAAATGTTTTGTTAAAATTAATCTAATAGTTTCATACAATAAATTATTTACTGCCCCTCTCTCTATAAATTGGTAAAAGTATCATTCTATATTAGACGTTACTAGTGCCGCCATACTTCTTATATCTGTGAATAAATATTAGGATATTGGTTAATAAAGTCCTCGAAGGCATCACTCAACTTGTTGAGTTAACTGGTGTCAATTGATTTCCAATAACTGTTTACAATTGAGACAGACGATGTATGCGGGCGTCGGCCGATTGTTTAATCAACAATCAAATGGGACAATTTGTGATGGTATTTCAAAATACAGCCACCATGACGCTTTGCACGTAATCACCCGGTGGGAGGTCGACGGGAAAGTTCCACAGCAAATATTGGGTTTAGCTCGCAGGTTTCGCGAAGTATTGAGAAATAAACGGTTCTTTAAGCTCGAATACACATACGATTTCGTAATCTATACTACATATTTTAAAGCTAGAGTATTTGTTGAAAGCTACATCTATTCAAAGTATAACGTGTACTGTATACATAAAAGAAAGTATTTGTCACACAATAATCAAGCTAGTTTTAACACAAGTCAAAGTTGGTCGTACCTGCAATTGAGAGCTATTTTAAGCTAACAAAGAGCGCAACAGTGTTATCTACTGTACAATTATGTATATGTTTATACTCATAGATCACATGAAATTTGATCCTATATTATTTTTAGTATGGTAAACTTCCTCGAAAAATAAATAGTTAAATAATAGGGCAGGTCACATAATCTTGATGCCTTATCTACTTGACTTAAAAAGCCGGCCAATGAAGCAGACACAGAAATATACTTATTTTTTAATATAGAGGAGGACAAAACAGGCCATATAACATCTAACACAAGATGCACTGCCGAACTATTTTGGATAAGATATTTGGTTCGATATATAGCTAGATAAACATATGGGCGAAGCTTGAGTTCTTACCCATCTTTGATATTTTTAAGCCCAGGATGCCGTATCACTGTTAAAAATACAAAAAAAACATCATTTTGTACACATATAGCAGGATGCACGGTACGGTGGAGCGAAACGGTTGCGCGCCGCAGCACGGAAACATCTCTAACATCTTTAACGTAAGTCGCAACAGCCTTAACGAAAATTATATCCTATTTTCACAACAAGAAGGTTAAAAGTTCAATGATATGACTTGGGATTTGAGGTTGCTTTTATCAGTGTCCCGTTTACTGTTTTACGATTCTTCAAAGTGTATAAACGACATAATAAATTCAATGCATTATGGACTGTAACTAGAGAAATTACGATTTAAAATTGAAGATCTGCTGTCGGCGTTTAAAACTTTCTAGCTGGCGATAGATCAGTTCCATGAACCGCTTCCGCCGCGGCTTCTTCCGTCTCGGGTTGCTGGTTGCAGAAATTCCTTAGCCGGCCACCGGGGCCGGCTCAAGAATGCAGACGCGGCTGATGCCTTGATAGCTTAATGTGCACTAAAGTTACACTGTTAGTGACATTCCTTACAATACAGCCATATGATAACACGTAATTAGTGACTACTCATATTCAAGTCTATATAGGTACAGTATACAAGTTGAGCTAAGATCTGTTCAACTTGTATACTGTACCTATACAGATTATTATCTGTCACCTAAAACGAATGTTTATAATGAACTAGCTGTTACCCACGACATCGTCCGTCGTTCTTGCAGGATAATCTTTAAAGATAGACACATACTGTCGCGGACAGTTTTTTAGATCATATAATTATTTAAATAAAACACTTTAACGGTTTAAAACGCGATATATTAGTTAAACTTATTTGAAACTGATTTTTAACTTCGGCCCGACGTTTCGGATGCTTTGCGGCAGGCGTGGTCACGGGTCTCCCCGTTTTAAACCGTTTAAGTGTTTTATTAAAATGTGTAGGTACTACTCACGTAAACTATAGACAGTATTTCATATAATTATTATAATATTATAACATAGATGTACAAAACTACTACAAATATAATAAAAAAGCTTATAATTTTAATCTAGACACTTACACTAATAAAATACTTAAACTAATAAATATTATATTATAAAAATACAAAAACGAAATCAATCAATAACAATAGAAGATTAAAATGACATTTGCTAAAGTTTCAATTGATAAGTTGGTACCGAATGTGACTCCCACGAACTTGGGTCCACAGATGGGTTTTTATCTAATTCTGTGAATCGTGGGAATGTTTATGGATCCCATAGCTTCATAAGTCAAGCGACTCATTCACAGAACATAATTATCCTTAGCTTGGCGGTCCCACGCACATTTGTGACCCATGTGTTTTAGTGGTTGTCGTAGGGTTTTCAAAATCTAGCACTAGCATTCTATATTAATCAAGTCTAATTCTATAGTTTTTTATCTTGGAAGTGTTGCAAGCATTGTTGAATTTTAGTCTATGATGTACTGCCTTCTATATAGACAATACAGATAATATATTACTTTATTGATGAGGTTATTTTAGTACCGGGAATGTATTTATATACTTTATATTGGATATTTAATTGAAATACTACAAATAATAATCCTATACCAAATTGCCTATTAACTAAGCTACTTATCTTTACGAGTCTTTTAATGCTACAAATTCAAAGAATTAATTATAATATGAGTAATTTACGGTAAAGGATAATACCGTCTTGTCTCATTATGACTTGTAGAAAGGCCTAAACCAGTGCAAAGTTTATCAATGAGATATTCAAGATTATGGGAACATTTTTTTGGGAGCGTAACGGTTTTTTTGTGTTCCTTTAGTCGTCTTGGACCGTGTGAAGGAAGCTCAATGAATGCAATATGTGAACCAGTCGACCAGCCGCTTAGATCCTTCATTTGTTCACTAACAGCGGCTATGGCATCCTAGGCTCACGTTTTCAAAGGGGCAGAGAAGGTCATCGGGAACTGGTCGGTGAGACTTCAATGGATCGCTTTGAGAAACGTCTCTTGAACTTCATTGTTCGCTGTTTTCACACGAAGTACGAGTACTTGTATATTATTAATTGTGGGAGGATATTTTTTCTCAGATAAAACAATCTGATGCAACAGATATACAACTTTTAGTCGACACAAACATTCTATGTAATGTTTAGTAAACATGACGTCATAATACGTAATTAGCAGTAATTAGGCATTATTTAGTCATTTTCTTTAAACAAATTATTATTGTTTATATTTCTACCTTAGATGAATAACTATTATTGACATAAGGATGTATTAAAATCAAAGCTGATAAGAAGTGCCACAGACTTAATTGTTTACTGGAACATTGGATTCTTAAAAATAAAACTTGAAATTCTTTAGGGCCATACGAAAATAGACCATAGAGTCTCACGCCAGTGCTGCCACTAGCCAGCAACAAGACAAGCAAAAAGTACACATTCTTTATCCCGCTAGATTGGAATGTTGGACTGGACTGTCCGTCCTTCAAGTTATTACGGGTCAGCGACACGGCCTGAATTACAACATCGCACTCACTCGTTAAAAATAAATTAGTTAATTACTCCAAAAACCCTAGTAATAGTAACGTCTGTTAACGCGATACAGTTTATCGCGTTAACGAACTATCATCCTGTCTGTGATAGTGTTAATCCGTAAATACCGTAATCCTAATTTATTGTATAGGAATCTGTTATAAGCACGAGAATCGAAATTATTGGAAGCGCCTAGGGGAAACCCTATGCCTCCAAGGGAGGGACGAAGGTCAACGGAGCCGCTCCATAATTTACTTTGTTCGATCCTTTTTGCCTGAAATAAAAGACCTTCTTGTATTATTATTTCCTGTTCAGTATAATGAATGTCAAAAGAGCCCCATATCTTCATTGGAGCAGATACATTTCTGTGGCATTTCAAGATTGATCTTATAAACAAAACGAACCTTCTATAATTGGGTATAAAAATCTTTTGTTTTGCAAAAAAAGCGACATAGATCAATAAAAACATGTTTAGCATAGGAAATATTTCTTTTACCTATATAAGCCTACTAAAATAGGAAAATACAAAAACATGCATATATTATATTTATAAATAATCACATATTTATTGTAAGCGCACTATAACATTATTTTCAGCCAGTATAATGGGTCGTTCAGACTCTCTGTTACCAAGAACAATTAGTCCAGATAATATAGTCTATTGTCTTGTATTTCAAGCCTTAAGCACTTAAGGTAGTGGAGGCGTTGTTTTGCAAAAGTATCTCGGTGTTTGACCTTTTTCACATGGCATGTGCGGTGGGGGGGTGCTGCAGTGCGGTCGAGTTCTCACGGGAACGCGCTGTGCAATCACCGCCGCATTACGTCCTGCATTGGGTCGCCACCACCCACCACAGCGTGGATAAGACATTTCATTTCATTCAGACTGGAAAGAATAGAATTATAATATGAGGCTGCTAGAGGCAGAGTGGTCTAATAACAAGAAACATGATTTTAAAGGAGAAAAATAAATAACGTTAGATATTAACTTATGTTGAAAATGAATTTGTACTATTATTTGTGTAAGAATTATGTCCAAATCCCCGGACAGATAACACACGTCTCCTTAACTATTAAATAAAATCGAACAATGAAACAAAAACAGGAATTTTTACACGCATTTTTAGGGCCCAATTACGAAACGGGATTTCGCGCATTCACACACTTGATTTTAACAAGCCTTCAACATTACGAAGGCTTAGTCGCCGATGGCAGGCTGTCTAAATAATATTATAAGCCCATACTGACGTAGTTTAATCACAAAATTCGTTAAAAAATATTTAAGAGTTACAAAACTAGCGATATTGTTTTTAATTGTCAAACGATAGGATTATAATCAACATAATAAAGTAACGTAAAAAACGACTGGAAACGCTTTTAAAGGTTAATTGTAAGTATTGGTTGAATAAATAATGATCTCAAATACTATTACAATTAAATACTTACTTCTGTAAATCCGGATAAGCTTAAATCTGCCCTTGGTTTTTGAGCTGTACATCAAATCTTCAAAATTCCACTGCCATACAGTTTAGGTATAAATTAAACAAAAACACAAACACATTGATTCATGATAATGATGAATTTTGGACTAAAATTCAAAACAAAAACCCCTAAAATAAATTAACGTAAAGCACAGATTAAAATTTCTTTAGTTTAACATTTATATAAGGATGGGATGTACGCAAATTCAACAACAGTAGAAAGTAGAAGTTCCTTATACACAATCTCTGAAAAACGTTAAAAACGTCGAGTTAAATTATAATGACATGAAAAAAATACGTCGCTGAGGTCGTTTCGTTTGTATATTTTTTTATTCTAATATAATCTGTGGCAATGACTACTCTCTATAAAAGGGCATCACTAAATCTCAATGGTGGGAATTTGGCCATATTTGCTGTAGTCTTTTGCCAAGTTAAAAAAATACACTATATATCCAACCGTTTTCATGGCAAGTCCATTGCCAGCTCCACAAGAATTTGCTTAGAACATCAACGGCATAGGTACGACTTTTCCGTCGCAAGCCGCGGCTTTAACCCGTTCCAATCAACAATGGAATGCATCTACTTTTGGTGCGACTCGGCTTGACAGCATCCACTCGATATCCTGTCCGATGCGTCCAGTTTTTACATTGGAGCTTCGACTATTATGAGCTGACGTATTTCCCTGACATATCTCATATTATAAGTATTTATTTTTTATTTACTAGATTCAAAACAATTTTTTTAAAAGCCACAGATACAAAATACAGAGCAGATCTCAGAGTACAGAAAAATATATTTCAAATATTCTATTACTTCTTCATCATTCGTACTCAGTTTTTCACTAATTCTATTACACCTACAGTTAAATATGATGTTCTTAATTTGGTGCTTTTACAATAAATAGCCATAGATAAGCAATATATGAGTAATATTTATTTTCTATAGTTAACCATAGATAATAGTTGTTTAGTGCCAGTTATTTAGTGTAGTATGTGTATGTGTAGTATATGTAGTGCATCATGAAACACTATCCACCGACGGTTCGCCTCTAATTACGGTTAATAAATACAAGCAATGCTAATGAAATGTTTAAAATTGACAAAACATGGTATAAAAATGTTTGGGGAAAAAATTGCAATAAGTAGCGTTTGATTATAGAATATGATTGTTTATTATAGAGATAATTTCAATAAGATTACGCCCTACAGTGATATTAAGATATATCTAGACCACTTGAAGGAAACGAGATCCTTGACGTGCAATATTTCTTCAATCACTTGTATGAATTGCTTCCCTTGAGCGGCGGTACTGCTCCCATTTACTTATTCTTGCTAAGGTTAAACTAATAATTGCAATTGACACAACGCATACTATAAGAACTGGACAGGGACTGACTATTTGTCTGATAATAAAAAAAAGGCCTTCAGTAACGAAAATGATCAGTAATCAACACATTTGATTAATGACATAAAAATTAGTACGTCTGTATTAATATG